GGGTTGAATTATACTACCAGTTAAAATATTTGCACTTATTTCTGGGACACCATATATATACCGTGTGATTGCATTAAAATAACGCCAGTAATTTTTCTGTCTTACTAGAGCTTGTTTGCCAGTTAAAGAACAAGAAAATATTTTGATAAAGAAAATATTTTTAATAAAGAGCGAGAAAATATTTTAAGCAATATCTTGTGGTTGCTCGTAGCGATTTTTACTAAGAGACCATTTTTACTTAAAAAATGGCGAAAATTTATATTTTTTCTCATATTAGTGTAATACAGGTATGGGCGAAAAGTTAGTACTCTTTAAAACAGTTAAAAAAACATAAGGTTCAGGGCTAGGGTTCTAGGAGCCTAGGGTTCAGAACCGGGAATTTCCGGTTCTTTTGAGACATCAAAGAAACGGGACTCGAAATGATTAATTCCAGGTTCTTTCGGTACTTCCGAGACTCGGTAATAATAATTAAAAACATATTGCGGTCGAAATCAAACTCTTCTAAGTAAGTAGTGATGCTATCTCTGACTGTTCTTACTTCTGAAGTGATTTTGAAGTTTCAATAACGTTTATTAGTAATTATTGAAGTATAAATATGTTATTTTATTATTTAGTATAATATTTCTGAATGTATTAGTTATTTTTTTTTGTGTTATGTTTTATTAGTTAGACATTAACATCTTTAATTGAAAATGTTAATTTTTTGTTTTTCAAATTTAGTTAAGTTGATTTAGAGGTTGGTTGATGTTGTTTGATTTAATTTTGAAGCTACGTATGTGTTTTTTTTTCGCTTGTGTTCATTATTTGTGTTCATGTTTACTTTCTCATGGCTTAATAATTTGATATTATTTTCATTTGAAACTCAATTTTTTAACGTTTTTACTTTTGAGAATCCCTTGCTTGCTAATTGACGAACTCCACAATCATTGAACGAAAATATTTTAGTACAGTCCCGGAAACTCTAATTAATACTACCAATTAGGGTTCAGGTCTTTTTTGCCATTACAGAACCGTGCCTTGGAAACAACAATTAAAAAATTATTTTTTTGTTACGTGAGAAAGTCCTTTGATACTTTCTAGTGGTCGAAATCAAACTCTTCTAAATATGTAATGATGCAATTTCTTATTAATCTTGCTTCTTTTCTCTTTTGAAGTTCCTATAATATTTATTATGTTATGTTTTAATAGATATTTGCATTTTTAATTCAATATTTTAGGGCTTGTGTCTCAAATTCAGTTCAGTTAGTTTATGTTGTTTGTTGTGAAATTTAAGTTATCTATACTTTTTTCTTTACTTGTGTTCATGTTAATTTTTTCATGACTGATTACTTAATAATTAGATGTTATTTTCATTAAAAATCTCAATTCTTAATCCATTTTACATTGAAAAACCATCCCTTGCACTTGCTTTCTCGGATCGGAGATATTATGTTGATTTGGTGCTAGAACCAATCGTTAGTCTTTGGAGAGCTGCAATTTAGGATAATTTTAACTTCATACACGATAGTGCACCTCCCCGTACCAGCAGAGTGACTTGAGAATGTCTTGAAATGGAAGGTGAAATAGTTTTGGACTGGCCTGCATGTTCACCCTAACATTCACCTCTCTAATATCACCTAAACTCTATCGAACACTAGAGGGACTAGCTCAAAAAAAAGATTAGAGCTCGTCGAAACAATTCAGGAAATCTTGCACAGATTGATAAACTGCACCACTATTGAACAAAAATTAGTCAGTACCGAAAGTACCGTAACAACGGGAAATCCCGGTTCCTAAGAGGCGCGGTACCGAGATTCCCGGTTCCGAAAAACAGCTCCGGCAAAGAATATACCTAGCTAGAAAAAGAATGGACTCTGCCATACTGAAAAATGGTCCTACAGAAGTGGCGCCATCTATTGAGTACGGCCTCTTCTAAATATGTAATGATGCAATTTCTTATTAATCTTGCTTCTTTTCTCTTTTGAAGTTCCTATAATATTTATTATGTTATGTTTTAATAGATATTTGCATTTTTAATTCAATATTTTAGGGCTTGTGTCTCAAATTCAGTTCAGTTAGTTTATGTTGTTTGTTGTGAAATTTAAGTTATCTATACTTTTTTCTTTACTTGTATTCATGTTAATTTTTTCATGACTGATTACTTAATAATTAGATATTATTTTCATTAAAAATCTCAATTCTTAATCCATTTTACTTTGAAAAACCATCCCTTGCTCTTGCTTTCTCGGATCGGAGATATTATGTTGAATTGGTGCTAGAACCAATCGTTAGTCTTTGGAGAGCTGCAATTGGGGATAATTTTAACTTCATGCACGATAGTTCACCTCCCCGTACCAGCAGAGTGACTAGAGAATGTCTTGAAACGGAAGGTGAAATAGTTTTGGACTGGCCTGCATGTTTACCCTAATATTCACCTATCTAATATCGCCTAAACCCTATCGAACACTTGAAGGACTAGCTCAAATAAAGGGTTAGAGCTCGTCGCAACAATCTAGGAAATCTTGCACAGATTTGCTGTCCTCCATTCGCGAACTTCGAGTTCCGGGCTTTACGCCCTGGGGCTACTCGAGAACGGTTCTGAAAGGAGCGGTGCGCGATAGCCTGGTGCCCTCATATGGCGCGGAACAGTTCTGGAATTTTATAACTCAATTGAATGGAGTGAGGGTATCGCGTTCTTGAACAGTTCAGAGCTGCTCAACTGCGTGAACAAAAATTAGTCAGTACCGAAAGTACCGAAAGAATGGGAAATCCCGGTTCCTAAGAGGCGCGGTACCGAGATTCCCGGTTCCGAAAAACAGCTCCGGTTCCGCAAACCCTAGTGGCGCCCCCTCTAACTAGGAGTCATACTGACATCGAAATTGAATTTACCTGGTTTTGCATTGTTACCTATTCAGTTTTAATTTAAAAATAGATTCAGTTTTTCTTAAATTACTTAAAATCGGCTTGCCCAAAATTATTCAAATTTAGCATGTGTATTCAGCATACGCAGACTTTTAACAAAAATTAAGTACGACTTCGCTGTAGAATTAACAGGGGCGCCAATATCTGGACAGTTCAAAATTTGCAAGCGATTTCCTGTTCCCAACGACGATGCACCACCCGGTATATAAAGTACATCAAAGGAGATCAGGTGAAGATAGAAATTGGCTGAATAACAAACATTTATATTTTTATATTGTAATTTTAACACTTAACAAGGACTCCAATAGACCCGTCAAAAACATATCCACTTGATTAATCTAATTTTTAAAAAGGTGTTACCCTCCATTTAGGGATATTTTCTAAATTGCCTACCTATTTAATGAGCGTTGCCATTCATTAGGCGGCCTCACCGCGCTTGAGAAATTAGGAAACCTGTGAAACCCTTCCCAGAAGATTTATAACTTTATTAAAAGCCAGTGGAGAACATTAGATATTAATGGTGGTTCGTAATGACCTCTGAAAAAAATCCAGTCATCTCGCCGCTGTACTTGAATTTTTAAATGTCTGTGCTCGGTTGTAAAAATGATCATTAATAAAATGTTATAAGTTATATTTCTAGAGTATTAATAAAAATAATACAAAAGTAGCGCCAATATTATTGCCTATAGTAATATTTTTATTTGAAACTAATATAATATTGTTGTCATGTTTCAATATATAGTTGTAAAACATAACAATAAAAAATTACAAATCTGAGCGTAACTGAATTGTTGTAAAGCTTCAATCAGAACCTCAAAATTAGTGGATTAAAATAGTGGTTTCAATTAGCGTAGAAGTTTGTTCCTCTAATTTTAATGTAAACATATCGGTAGTAATTTTCAATTAGTAGAAAAAGTTAACAAACTTTTAAACTTCATTCAGAACCTCGAAATTAATGGAGTAAATTAGTGGTTTCAACTACCACTTTACACTTAAAAATCCTCGGTCATTCACAATGTTTCAAAAATATAAATAAAATTAAATATAGTATCCTAGCAGAGTTTGCGGTAGTCAGTTGTATCCTTAGAGAAAGCTCAATAAATAGCTTATAACAATCAACTTATAACAACAACCTAACCTAACCACAATTTCTCTTGACGGATGATAATCAAAAACCAAAATGACATTATTCGCAAATTTTGAAGTGGAATTAGTGAAAAAAATTTTGTTTGTTAACTTTTTCTACTAATTGAAAGTTGAAGCTGAAAATTGAAGTTGAAGAACAAATTTCTACGCTAATTGAAACCACTAATTTCCAGGTTCTAAATGAAGCTTAAATAGTTTTATTTTTTAAAACTGAAAATAAACTATAAAAGACGAGGTATACTAAATATGAAATGTTCAAAGTAATAATATTTAAGAACAAATAATAACGGAGCAATCAACAATCACTGAAATAGTTTGCTTGTTTGGTTGGCAATAAATTTAAGAAATTCGAATATTTATCGGCTGTCATCACTAGCGTCAAAACAAACCAAAAATTAAATATGATTAATTTTCTGACAAAATTTAAATTCGTTTTCCATAATTAATGACTAATAAGACTAATCAAAACGAGATGAAAAACATATGGATTTAACTTGAAGGTTTTCCAATTTAGTTATTGAATAAAAGTATTAAAAATATAGGTTAGATTACATGCTCATAATAAATTTTGAACTAGTTCTATTTTATATATTATACACATCTAACTTTGTTTTGAACGCCACAGGATGAAAATTATCCGTGATTATGTAATACTTTTCCATGTGGAATACTACAGTTACATTGAAATATAGTCATTTTTTACAATGAAAAATATGTGTCGATTTTACAAAAAAACAAAGCCAAAACTTGTAGATAAATTTTGATAAGAAAAGCTGAAAAGACAAAAAAATTGACGTTACTGAATAGACAATTTTTTAAATTTTTTGGATCTATAATTTGTTTTAAATCAGTACCAACTACAAATCCTAAAATCCTCTAACACAGTATTGCCAACTAATTCAGTCATTGTTGATCGTTCCGTATTATCGCTATTATAAATGAATTCTACTTACTGATGGTTGGCAAGTTTCTTGTTGAGTTTTTTCGGTTCCGTTCTGGACACTTGTCCTTTCACTACCCTAGCTACGGAGGTGGGAGTTTCTTTAAGTCCAAAACTAGTAACGTAGTGTCCTAGGTTAGCCTTCTTAAAGTCGAAAACTGGTTTCAACTTGTTGGGGTATGAACTGTAGAATCTAGCCCAAGATGAGTATCCTGAAATTAAAAAGAGAAACATAGTAGTTATAATTTAGTATAGTCTTTTTTTAAGGGTTTACTGGTCAAACAACTACTAGTGCAATGTTTGCTTCCACATCATTATACAGGGTGGTCCGAACTGTATTCCGAAACTTCGGCAGCATATTCTGCAGATAAATTAAGTAAAAAGTTCTTATAAATGTATGTCCTAAAATGCTTAGTTTCGCAGATACAGGGTGTAGAAGTTTCATTTTTATTTCGATTTTTTCCAAATAATTTCCGAAGTAACATCAATATTTGGATGAAAATTGGTGTCTGGGAGTTTTTTGACATGATAAATTTGGATTTCGACGTCAATATGACAACCTATGTATTTTTTAACTGGTTTGAAGTGTAATAAACCGTCCTTTTCGTCCGTACCTGTATAAAACTAGCTAGTTAAAAAATATACATTTACGATGTATATAATTTTTACGTAAAAATAGTCTCTTGGTAAATATCGCTACGAGTAATGGTTCTAGATATTTAGAATCGAAATTACCAATACCTGTCATCATTGACATAAATAAAACATGTTGACTAATTAGTTATTAGACTAAAATCATAAATTTGCAATGTTTTTGTGCCAAAAGTTCAACAGAAACTGTTTTATCATCGTTTTTCCAAAAAAAAATTATGATTAGTTTAAAAAAAATAAAAAGTTTCCCAAATTTCTCATTTCAGTCAAATAACTATCTACTCAACATGTTTTATTTTTTGCCTATAATGACACGTATTGACTATTTCCATTGTAAATATCTTGACAACGGTTGCTCGTAGCGATTTTTACCAAGCGACATTTTTACGTAGAAAATCACGGAAATGTATATTTTTTCACTCAGTAGTTTTATACAGGTAATACGGACAAAGAGTTATTACTCTTCAAAACAGTTACAACACACGTAGGTGGCGCCCTTACAAATAGGAGTAATTTTGACATTAAAATCAAATTTCTCATGTCAAAAACTCCAATTTTCATCAAATATTGTTACTTTAGAAATTATTTGGAAAAAATCCAAATAAAAATGAAACTTCTACACCCTGTAACTTCCGAAACTAAGCTTAGACAAAATGTTGTATACTCTACTTACTATAGTAACTATACCAACTTCGCTGTGTACTAACATTTGTAACGATATATTTTTTATTTTACTTCAGAAATTATTTGGAAAAATCGAAATAAAAATGAAACTTCTAAACCCTGTATCTCCGAAACAAAGCATTTTCAGACATACAATTATACTAATTTTTTTTACTTATTTTTATCTGCAGAATATGCTGCCGAAGTTTCGAAATACAGTTTGAACCACCCTGTTATTAAGCCCTATTGTTTTAAAATATCGAAAAGGAAAGTATCGTGCAATTCACTATTTCAGATTTTATAGATATTTTACTTAGTTTTTAAATGTTTCGATTCATGTATGTACATAATCGTAAAAATGATTTTTTTTAGATTTCCCCCCTTTAAAACTATCTAAATGAATTGGAATTATCTTATGATAAGCTTCATTCAGAACCTCGCAGTGGATAAATGAGTGGTTTTAATTAGCGTAGAAGTCTGTTCCTTTAATTTCAATGTAAGCATTCAGAACGTCAATTAGTGGTAAACTTTTTCAATTAATAGAAAAAGTTATCAAACTTTTGACTTTTCCACTAATTATACTTCAAAATTTGAGACAAATGTCATTTTGGCCTTTGATTATCTTCCGTCAAGAGAAATTGTAGTTAGAAATCAAAAGTTGATTGTTTTATAAGCTAATGTAAGCTGTTGCTAGGATATTCTATTAATTTTGTGTTTTTTAAACATTGTGAATAATCGTAAACTAAAAAGTATAAAGTGTAATTGAAACCGCTAATTTATTCCACAAATTGCGAGGTTCTGAACGAAGCTTAATACGAGCCCTAACAACTATATGTTGGGACAAGGTCTTTTTTGCAATAAATATAGTAATTTGTTAAAACGACTCAATTTATTTTGTTTATTATTCTAAATTCAAACATTACAATATGATCTAGACAATTTTACTATATTTTTATAACTTTGCAAACAAATCACTTTTGATAATAGCTATTTTGCCAAAATCAAACCAAATTTGCTGACAACTATATATTGGGACCGCACAACAAGAAATTTGTTTAATACGGAGTTACATCACCTTTCGCCTTAACAACTGCCTGAACTCTTAATGGCATTGTATTTACCAAAGATTGGCACATTTGAGGAGAAAAATTATCCCAAATTTCCTGCAGTTTTGCCCGCAAATCAAAAATTGTTCGTTGAGGGTGGCTTCTTAAATATTGCTTCATTTTATGCCACACACTTCTATCACATTGAGGTCCGGACTACTTTCAGGATGGGATAGAACTTTTATATTATTATTACCGAACCAATTTTTAGTTGATTTTGCTGAATGGCACGATGCTCCATATTGTTGGAAAATATAGTCTTCGTTTGGAAACAATACTTGAGCACTAGGCAAAAGTGAGGTCTCAAGTATATGTTGATATCTTTGGGCGTTAACAGTGCCATCTATAAAATTTAATTTGCCCAAACCTCTTGCTGACATGCAACCCCAAACCATTATCCCCTTAGGAAATTTAACAACCCTCTTTAAGCAATCTTTATGAAAGGCTTCTGCTTTACTTTGTATTATTCGTTTTCGATGATCTCCAACGCAAACATAAAATTTAGACTCATCGCTAAATATGACCTTATTCCAATCATTTTGTGTCCACGATAATTTAGATTTTGCCCAATTGTAGCGATTTTTCTTTTGAATTTCTGTCAGTAGCGGTTTTTCTTTGGCCTAATTAAGAATTTGTATCTATAATCCTCAGGTAATTGATTATCCACACAAAATAAAGTTTACCTTGTAAAACCCCAGACCGCATTTGTGGATATATTTTCGGCAACATTCTCTTGATATATTTAAACCAGTTACAGTATTCCATTTAACTGTTACTTCGCGAAGAGTACTTCTTCTCGCAGACTTGCAATTTTTTACTAAATTTCGTAAATCTCTTTGAGATTCAACTTTTAGCCTTCACGAACTTTTACCTCTAACGTCTACATTGGCAGATTCACCGTATTTTTTTATTATATTAAAGACAGTGGTTTTTGGAATACTTAAATCATCAGAAAGTTTTCGAATTGTTTTTCCCGTACTGTATTGACGAATGATAATTTCGCGTAGTTTTTGATTTGTAGCTTTTCCACGGACCATTACTTTGAATTAAATAATTAACAAAATTGAAAATTAAAAAAATTAAAATTACTTACAGTAAACCTCAATACTTACAGTATCGAGTCACTTGCAAGCTGTCAATGCTGAAGTAAACAGTTTGCGACATTTGTGACGTTTATAGCAAAGCCGCCTATGATGATATTAATTATTTAAAAATACTCGTCCCAACATTTAGTTGTCAGCAAATTTGTCCTTTTATGAACAAAATCCTCTACTGTAAATATGGATTGATTTACAAATTCATAAAAATATTGTCAAGTTGTTTAGGATATATGGCTATGTTTATATTTAAAAAATTAAACATATATTTTTCAGTCATTTTGAAAAACCAGGGCAATAATTCCAAAATATGACCTTGTTCCAACATATAGTTGTTAGGGCTCATAGTTCAGTAAAATCAATATTGATATTAATGGTTAAAATTCTAACTTCGATTTCAACGTACGCCATCCAAAAAATGACAGAAAATACAATTTGCCAGAAGGTCAAAATGACAGACATAACTGTCGCTGTATACACCCGTTCAACAAACTATAAATCTCTGATAAAAATTACATTCAAAAAACTGAAAATATCAATCGCTATTAATCATTATTATGTTATCAAAATCCAACTCCGAAATCATCCAAAACTACGTAACACACAAAAAAACAGTAATATAAAAAAGAAGACTATGAAATCAAATTATTCAACTTACCAAAACAGGCTTTTCTGTGAAGCTCCTTATTCCTAGAAAGAGCCGTTTCGTATCTTCTTTGTAAAGACAAAACGGCCTTATCTTTGTCCGGTTCTTCCATAAAAATACTTAAGTTTTTAATAATAACGTCAGATTTTCGCTCTTTTAGACTGAAATTAAATAATGAATTCGTAAAACACAGTTTTTGAAACCAACTAATATATAGTTTTAAGTTAAATAATTGCTTTGAATAAAAAGAATAAGGAAGGAGCATATCAAAGAAACCTAGGTGGTAAGCAATGGAAGATTATAATGGATGACTTAAATTCCGGTTTATCAGTGCCTTTCAAATTTTATATAACCCGAGTAAAAATATTATGTAGAGTAGACTCAATAATTTGTTGATTGTGTTATATGTTGTTAAAAAATGTTATTAGTTAATACCAAATACGCTACTCAAACACGAAGTCAAATTGACGTATCCTGAATATTTTCACCAAGGAGTAAATAAAAGCGAAAATGCCAAAAAAAAAATATAATTATTAATTCTAAATTAATTTCATAATTGATTGGTATACTGCATATAACGTATAGTATACATGTAGTCACCAGTGAAAAGTTATTCCTATTATTTTTCCCGATTTTTGACCGAGATCTATGGAATGCTCCACAACTATTTCAGTCTTTTTCGGTAATTCGCAATAATGTAGCTATTAATTTAAGTTCTGCCACAATATCCCTCTAGATTTAGTACCTCTGAACAAAACCAATTGTAGAATAAATAATAAAATACAAAATAAGTTCAGAAAACCCAACAAATCCGATATGAACAAACAAAATACAAGAAGCGGAAAGGGCCAAAAACATAATATGTTTCAAGTAAAATTTTCCGATATGTTTCAAATAAAATTAAAATGGGTCAATTGTAACGTCAAACAGAACTATCAAAGATGGGTGCCAATCATATGATGTCGATTTTGTCTCATGTATAAATACATGCGTAGATGCCATTATATCCTTCCTTAATCTCTTTAGTCAAAGATTAATAAGTTTTGAGAAAAAACTAACTATTCATAAAATGAAAATAACCAAAACATACAAGTAGTCTAAAGAAAGTTATGAAAACTTACAAAACTTTACGCCCTTGCAAGCGACTAACAAATTCTTGTTCTTCGTGGGTCAGAAATATGACAGCTGATCCAGTTTTTCCAGCCCTTCCAGTTCTACCAACCCGATGCAAGTAGTCGTCTTCCGTTTGAGGACCGTTGTACTGGATGATACAATCTGCTTCAGGGACGTCCAGACCCCTGGCTGCTACATCCTGTATAATATATGAATTTATGAGTAGTAATTAATATGAGTCCTATATAATTTATGAGTAATAGTGAAATTATCAATTTCAACGTTCGTTTGGAAGTAGTCGACAATGGTAAGTTGTAAAATAAAAATATATTACATTATCGAATAGAGAAGTGTTTCAGTTTCAATATGATCGAAAAAAAAGCGTCAGCGATGGCTATGAAATGAAGATCGCTGTCAATTTATATGTAAAATTATATAGGGTATGTCATCGATGATCATTTCCCAGCCAACTGGTCGCCGTTTTTTCATCATACTCATCATGTCATCATACTAGCAAGCATCTACGAGGTACCATGCAAGTGCGGTAGGTTCTATATTAGAGAGACAAAACGTCCTCTACATGTACGACTTGACGAACATAAAAACATACGTAAAGAGGTGAAACAATGAAGTCGGGTATTGCAGATCACGTGTGATCCAAACACCACAACATAAAATGGTCGGAAGTCCGGGTGGTCTACAAAGAACCCCATTGGTAAAAACGCAAATTTAAATAGGCCGTAATATAACGGAACTCAGTGATACGTCTGACCGAAACGTTGTGTAAGCAAAAATAAAAAAAAATCCGAAATTCTTTGTTTTAATTTTTAAAGTTTGATGCCCTCTAACGCCCAACCGAAGCACTTTTGTATAGAGGTAAATTGTGTCCAATGAACTTATTTTGATTCCAAAAATACGAAGTAGAAACTATCTATTGTGTGTTCCGCTTTCTTGAGTTATAGCAGGTTATAATCCATCATACAATTTCAGGGCTTTGACAAAAGCCAGTATCTGAGACGACTCCATAGAGGCCAGCTGTCCATCTTCGACATCAGCCGTACCAAAGATTATGGTATAAACGGTTGTCGTCTCGGTGCACTCACTGATAAGGTGTTCTGGGTTTCCCCATTTTCCCGACAGAATCTGTATTCGCCGTTGTTTCTCACCTTCAATCTACTGAGGTGTTCGTGGAGGAGACAGTGTCTTGTTAGAAACCCCGTGACAATCCGAAGATTGTTCTTACTTAAATCAAATAAGTCGTTAGTTCTGAGGAACTTTTTCGTGTGTCATAGACCGTTGGAGGATTCCCATTCCAGGTTACGGATGGAGTCCTCCAGATTCTTCAGTTCCGCTTTAAGCTGGTTTGCGCTTGGAAAGCAGAACGGTTCTGGTCTAGTTAGTGGAGTGTTCCCTCCTTTTCTAGCTAGATCGTTTGCTTTTTCATTGTCTTCTATCCCTTGGTCAGCGGGTACCCAGAGTAGGAGGACTATTTTCAGCTTCTCTAGGCATTCTTTGACCAACTTCGATCTGATGGTTATTGAGTTGATCGCTTTTAGTACTGCTTGACTATCGGATAAGATATCTATTACCTGTTTTCGATAGTTCCTACCTAAGATAAATTGTACGCATCTTTGGATAGGGTAGATTTCTGCCAAAAAAAACGTAGTAGTTCTATATTCTATATCCACATTTGTTAACATAATATTACATTTGTTAATTTATTTATTAACGTTTTTCTAGACCTTTTACAAAACCCTAGTATATTATGCCGAACAACAAAACAAGTTATTTTCCGAGATCGCTCCGGAGCGATCCCAATTTCCGTTGGTCATTAACTTGCACAATTAATAGATTATTTTCACGCCGTGGTGTCCGGCAGCCGAATTTCCATTCAACGGAAATCACTTCGGTTGCTCCAATAACCGCTGAATTGTGTCGGCGCGGTGGGACATCCCACCTACTCTAAACTATCTAAATATTTTCCATTTTAGTCGTGAAAATCATTAGTGGGTCGACAAACCAATAACCAATGCAATGGTCCTATCTGCGGATAAAACGGTTGAATAACACTCTTTAGGGATGTGATATTTCGAAAAATATCGATACGTATGAAACTGGAATAAAAATATCGGTACTCTAGAAAGTCATGTATCTACAACTACACACACTAAACACTCAGAATAATCACAAAAGAAATTGCTTCGCCAACAATTTATGTCCATTTTACGTTTTTCTGCACACAAGCGTTAATTAAAAGAATTGAGAAGATACGCCTAATGGGCGAATTCGTGACAAGGCTGATTTGATTTCCCCTTACTTCTCAAGTACTGTATGGTGGAGACACCAATCGTTCTGCGGCCAACGCATAAAATACTTATTTTCTCTAATTCGTGTGGAACTGAAAGCGTCAGCGTTGTCATATTAAAATATGGCAACACTGACTATAATACGTTTGAAGAAAATATTTTTGGATGAAAAATCCGCGTTTATGTATTGAAAAGTTACTTGTGTCAAACAGAATAAACAACAAAAATAAAAATTCTTATGGGTAGGAATTCATTATAAGTACTGAATATGTCGTATGATCGAAAAAGTCGTTTAGTTGGTTTGGAAACGACGAATTATTGATATTTACCATAATATTTTACATATGAAATAACAGCGATCTCGTTTCCAAGCCAACTCTGACGCCGTTCTTTGTTTAATCATAAAATATATTAAATTGTTTAATGATAAAAAAATCCGTATTAATAATTCCATGCTGAAATCTGTGTGTTAGTAGGATTTCGTACTAAATTAAAGTTTCATTAAATAAGTTTTATTTAAGTTAATTGAGTTTGATATATTTGAAAAACGAATCAATTTTAAAACTGAATAAAAGGCTACCTCAATTACAATTTACTCTGTACAATACGATATAGTGCTAAAATAATCATTGTACAGTAAACAAAATTTAATTTAACTTGTACAAATTCGCACAAAAAAATATAATTTTAAGCAATACAACCAGTAAAACAAAGATACGTATTTATATGTATTGTCTTCTTCTGAAGCCTTTTGACGAATCAATACAAACAAATTTCCCTAGAATGTAACCCCCGGCACCACTTAAGAATATCAATATTACAAGATGTCGATACTATTATACATCTCTATGGTTGTTGAGGCAGCGATCACCCGCAGATTTAGAGATGTTACCCAGTGGGCGGGCAACAGATTTTTTTACTGAAATATAAAGGCCGATCTGATATTGTTACGCTTAATTTGAACTAATCTTTTAAATGTAATTGATAGTTATTATAAAAATTAATTGGCTAATGCTTTGTGAAGTTCCGCGGTTCAGATATAAGATATAACTTAAAATCGACATAGGTTAATATTAAATATAGACACCCTATTATATTAGAATAAATATTTAATATTATATATGTATGAATTTGTTGCATTTTTTATGCATACTTATGGCAGAATTTGAGGAGTAACAAAGATGATCAAATATAATTATTATTACTTAAATAATTTAGATGTTTTTTACTTTAATTTCGTCCAAATTTAAATTAATTAATATTTACCAATTAAGACACTTCTGACAAGTATAGTGCCTGATTAATTTTATGTGTTTGTGTTTATTTTAATTTTATTTTTTTTATAGTTTGATCAAAGCTGATCAAAGCATAATTATTATATTACACATATGTGCAAGTAAAGTTGAATAATTGTATTAAAAGTTAGTTTAACTGGTTACTGACTGTTTCCTCTTTTGTCGGCAAATATAACAGGGTCGCTGATATGTATGATCAAATATAATTATTATTACTTAAATAATTTAGATGTTTTTTACTTTAATTTCGTCCATATTTAAATTAATTAATATTTACCAATTAAGACATTTCTGACAAATATAGTGCTTGATTAATTTTATGTGTTTGTGTTTATTTTTATTTTATTTTTTTTTAGTTTGATCAAAGCTGATCAAAGCATAATTATTATATTACACATATGTGCAAGTAAAGTTGAATCATTTTATTAAAAGTTAGTTTAACTGGTTACTGAGTGTTTTCTGTTTTGTCGACAAATATCCATTTTTTTTTCGATTATAATACTTTAATATACAGGGTCGCTGATATGTATGAAAACGGTCGATTATTGGGCAAAGTAGACGTGGTCCCGCAAAAAGTTAAATACGAAAGTCATAGAGTTTTTAAATGCCTAACGTCTTGTAATAAATTTAAGTATACAGGGTCGGTCATAAAGTCGTGGCACCTTAAAGAATCATTTTTTAATGGAACCTCCTATATACTGGGTATTTCAATAGAGGGTATTACTGGGTATTTCGTTTAGAGGTATCAGTTCTTTCATTATAATTTTTCCAGACATTTTTCAAGAAATTAATTCATCACAAAGGTATACACATTATTCAAGTTAACAGTTCTCACATGACAAATGTGAAACAATTTCTTTGTACAAGTTCTGCATAAACCTTTTTCAATACCTCAATATTTTTTCCATTTGTTGAGAACTTTTTGGCACAACCTAAAATATATTTTAATCTATAAAATATATTTTAGAAACTACAGAGCAGCTAAAATTAAAATAAAATAGAGTAAGACAAGGGGTGTTCTAAGAGTATAATTTTAATTTGATTAATCTGTTTTTCAAAAATATACTATTTTTTCCAAGTTTAAATACAAGCACTGTATTCTAAAGGTTTCCAATTTTACCTAATAAGAAAATAAATAAGGATTTCAACTTACCGTACATAATAAAATTCCTTTCTTTGACTTCTTAAACCCCTTAAATACTTCTTTCCTAACATTTTGGTCCATTGATCCGTGCAATTTAAACAATTCAACATCCAATACGTCCTGTTCATCTTCACTATCATCCAACTCCACATCATCCAACAACACCACATCACCAAACTTCATTTTCCCTTTATTGATTGGCATTTTCAACAGATATTTCCTGAATAATTCATAATGGAAATCAACCATTTGACTTGTAGCCATGAAAACAAAAACTTTACAGTCTTTCTGGTTAGAAAATGAAACAATCATTGCTGATAACAGGACAAGCCTGTGTTTCACAAACGTAACAAGGAATTCTTGTTTTACTGTGTCTGGTATAATCATATGGTTTGGATTAGTCCTTTCAGTCTCATCCAGAGCATCGATATAAGTGTGAGACTTCATGGTGAAATCGGCCAGTTCAGCAATTTCTTTTGAGAGAGTAGCAGAAAGCAAAATACATTGCCGAGAATGAACCTCTGTATCATCTTTAGCCAGTGTCAATTCCTCATTACTTTCTTTCTTTTCGGATTTCTGACCTCTAAGCAAAGCTAACGGATCGTATGACGAGAATTTATGTTGATTGTCTAACTCTTCAACCAATCTAATAAAAATAATGTATTATAAATTATACAGGGTACCTATTATAAATTGTACAAGTGTTCTGGTGGGATAGCTCTAATTATAGCCTAAGAGCTGACGACATATTTAGAGAACATATTTTAGGCAAGCTAGAATAACTAAAAATGTATAGTTTATTAACTGGTGAAAAATCCTAAGTCTGGCTAGGGGGTTGGGGGTATTTCGCTACTGCGCAACCCATAACATTTGCAAAAAAATAAATCCAAAAAACATTCTTTAGGCAACTTAAAATTTGTTTATTCTTAAATTTTGGCATCTATTTAACCTAGAAATAAGTATGCCAGACTTTTTTTTTCGGGTTTAAAGTGTAACCCGACCATTCCAAATATGTTTAACTATTATACCTGGAAAACATACTTTAGGCATTCTAAAATTTTTACAGCGTGTTTATTAGATGATATTAAAAAATATGTGTTAATTGCCAGACGAATTCAATGGGATTTAATACTTGCCAGACGCGAATAAAGATTTTGAATGAGCGCGACAAAAAAGTCTTATGAGTATCTATAAGCGCGAGAAAGATAGTTTATTGAGACCCGTCGGCAGCTGATGCGGCTGACGTAAGAGTATTTGGAGTACTTCAAATTTTCATAAAAACATTTTTTTTCGGTTTCATTTCAATTATTTGCAGGCTTTTAATTCAGAGATTATTTTGTTGGAATTAAGTTACCATGTACAAATATGTATTTATAAATTAAATATTGACGTGCATAGTGTAAATAGTTTAGAATAATTACTGCAAATAAATATTTTAGTAACTACTAATTTCGCTACTAACTACTAAATCACAATGGATAAAAAACATTTAAGTTGTGTATAGTTTGTAAAAAAGTTACTAGTGACAAAGTTATTGTTTTTGATGAAGGCAGACTACAAAAATGCAAAGAATTTTTAAAAGTGCGCCAACAACATGGTTTACAATTTAAAGTGGTTTTACCAGAAAAACGTAGTCCCGACAAAAGGGTACCATGTACAGTGCTAAAGAAATAAGTATTCTGGAATTTTATTAAAGTACCATTGTTAATCTTTCTAAATAGATCCAAAAGTAAGTAAAAGTGCTTTACTTTTATGCTTAGACGTTAAAATGACTTTTTTATATTGTCAATCAGGTGGCAAAAATTAATAATAGAGAACAACGACATACGGTCGAGTCGGCCGCTGCTGGCACGTAGACGTAGACGTAAAGAATCTTTACGTATATAAAAAATAAAAAATATAAGAAATGCGCATGCGTACGTAAACGTTTACGTGTTTGTAGGCCGACTCGACCGTATGCCGTTGTTCTCTAATAATATAATATGTCACAAAAGTATAATAATAATTTTACTTTTGTGAAGTTTGAAAAATATATTTCATATTATGCTAATTTTTAAATAATTATTCGTCTTTTTATTCTTTCAGATACAAAATACTTAAATTAAAAAGTCTTCTTATTGAAAGGATTTCAATCATACATTTTTATTAAAAATGTTTATTTTTATTTATTCAATATTAGTTTTTTTTAAGTTTTTACGACTCCAAAATGCTGTTACGTCAGCCGCATCGGCTGCCGACGGGTTTCAATAAACTATCTTTCTCGCGCTTATAGATACTCATAAGACTTTCTTATCGCGCTCATTTAAAATCTTTATTCGCGTTTGGCAAGTATTAAATCCCATTGAATTCGTCTGGCAATTAACACATATTTTTTAATATCATCTAATAAACACGCTGTAAAAATTTTAGAATGCCTAAAGTATGTTTTCCAGGTACAATAATTAAACATATTTGGAATGGTCGGGTTACACTTTAAACCCGAAAAAAAAGTCTGGCATACTTATTTCTAGGTTAAATAGATGCTAAAATTTAAGAATAAACAAATTTCAAGTTGCCTAAAGAATGTTTTTTGGATTTATTTTTTTGCAAATGTTATGGGTTGCGCAGTAGCGAAATACCCCCAACCCCCTAGCCAGACTTAGGATTTTTCACCAGTTAATAAACTATACATTTTTAGTTATTCTAGCTTGCCTAAAATATGTTCTCTAAATATGTCGTCAGCTCTTAGGCTATTAGGTTTCCTATAGATCATACCAAATAAACTTTTAGTCACGTGATTAGGCTGAGTATTTATTACCGGCACAGCGTTGCCCACTTTTACATATTTTCTTTTAATCAAAATATTTTAGAAAACAAAAATTAATTATAAATATATAAACAGTTATTATTTACATCAACAAAACTCACCTCCTTAACAGCACTTAAGAGACATAATGGGCAATTACTACTGCTTTCCCGTTCAAAATATTCAAATAAGGTTGCAAAGACTTTTTTACAACGGCTATTAAGCTATCTTTAGACTTCACACTAAAAGAGGTTCTAAAAAGAACAATGTTTGACTGCAGGGTTTGCTAGTAAAAAAATTTAAGCTTAAAGTATCACACACAACGCAATTCATTTGAACGAATGACAATGTCAGAAAGTAAATAAAAAAATGTGGCAACTTGACAGTTATTACAGCAGAGCTACCATCTAAATACCCAGCGGGGAATTGAAATTCCAGTTAGTCAGCCCGGCACCAAATATGTCCATGGTTGGCAAATTGAATTTAATAATCGCGCCATCAATTACGTAACTAAAAGTTTAAATGGTGTCACTTATATTTGATATTTTTACTGCAGTTTTTTTTTGTAAAATATATGGGCAATGATATTGTACATTTTAAAAATATTTTCATGGATAGACAGTGACTCAAATATACAGATGTGGTCATCATTAAGCTATAGTCAGGATTTGAACATATAGGTATGATAACATTAGAGATACTCTACTGAAAATTTGAACCCGTTATTAGTCAAAATTGTAAAATATTCCTGTAGGAAACCTGATATAGAGAATTCACTGAACACCAAATCACCCTGTATAAAATTAAATAAAAAATCTTACCTAACAATGTCCTTTTTGAACCCCATATCTAAAAGACGGTCTGCTTCATCGAGCACTAAATAATCTACTTTCTTTATATTTAAAGCTGAAGTGTGTAAAATGTGGTCTAAAAGCCTACCAGGGGTTGCAATTAAGATATGGACCCCTTTTCTTAGTCTATCCTTTTCCGTTTTGCGATTCTCACCGCCACATAAGTGCCCCACTACTATCCATTGAAATGTCTAAATAATAAACTGTTAAATTTGGTCTTATGCCCAGTTTTCCAAAAGCTCCATGACTTTTTTTCTATATTTTACATAATATGCAGGCATTTATTTTTATAAATATACAGGGCTATTCTTCAATGCTATTCAAATTTATTTATAAACTAAAATAGTATGAAATGGCGTAGTAATAGCATACAATTTGAACTATTTTTTTTGCAAATAATAAATACCTACCTAATTATTTATATATTTTTTAATTGAAAATAATTTGGAACTTGGAACGCTGGGTTACTCTATAATGTATAAACTTACTACTTACATTTATTTTTTTAAACAAGTCAACTATCTGCAGAACTAGTTCTCTAGTCGGTACAATTATAATTGCTTTCACTCCATCATTTCTTTGTAATTTTGTAGTATTATTCACCAAACTATTTAACAATGGAACAGAATATACCAATGTTTTTCCCGAACCAGTTTGAGACCTTACCTAAATTTCAATATTGGATTAAATATTATGTAAGCATAGAGAAATACACTTACCAAAACGTTTTGCCCCTCTAAAACTACAGGTATAGCTTTTTCTTGTACATTTGTTAATACTTTAAAGTTATGTTTCTCTAAATTTGATAAAATATGTCTATGAATATTAAGACTGCTAAATTTATTACCAGCACTAAAAACTTTTTCGATGACAGATTTTCCTTTAATATTCGTATTAACATAGAGGTTCTTATATTTCTCAGAAAATAAAGAATGCTGTATGTTTGTTTTATTCAACTGGTCAGAATCTCCTTTATCATCTTGAGGAACATTTTTATCCTTTTTTGATTTTCTTTTTATAAAACCTAGCTTCTTCTCAGTTATTTTCGTTTTAACACCATTTGTGGATCCAGTTACATCTTTAAGATTATTTTTATCATAATTTTGAATCTTAATATTCTTTTTCTTGCCTTCTGTTGTTCCTTTTTCCAGTTTCTTTTTAAAAACCTTCCCTAGAGGCTTTGTGTTACCTTTTTCAAATTTAAATTCAAAGGAAGTCATGTTTCTTTAAAAATATCTTTCAAAAATGCACTATTAATTAAAAACCTTTGCTTATAATAAATAAATCACACATTTTCCTTTCCATATTTTTATTTAACAAAAATGTGTGGTTATCTTATCAATTTCTTCTTTTCGAAAACTGACAGAAATTTGAAAAAAGAAGAGTTTTCTTCTTTTCAAAACTTATATTTGTCTGTAGCTTAAAACCTCACTTCCACACAAACCGGATGAAATTGGAACAATAATTTGAAATGAAGAATAGGAATTTTTCTTCTTTCCCAATAATTTGGGCCTCTTAAAGTGACCTTTAACCAGAGATATGGAAGTGGGAGAATGAGCTTCGACGAGTGCGCATTCTGGTGCGCATCCAAATTTTGTCGACGGCAAGATGGCCGACATCTTCCAGGTCTCGCTGTCACTTCCCCTCTTTAATTGACATCTGTTTGTTTTGTTTTTTTTTTCGTTTGTGTGGTTATCTAGTTAAAATTTATTATTATCTCAATTATTCTAAACACTAATTCAAAAAGGCCTGTTGTATATTCATAGTCATTCTAGAAAGCTAATACGCCGGGAATAATGATTAGTTTTCATGTGTAAGTTTATACAACATAATCGTGTTTACAGATGATTCAAAACTGTTTATTTTTAACTTTCCTAAAGGCGATTTGTAAAAATCGTGATTGTAATTGGGAATGGTCAAAAATAAGTGTATGATGTGGCCATTTAAAGAGGATGTTTTTATTACGTGTGGAGGAAGAAGATACTTGGAATCAATGTTCGTGGTTCTGTAAAACAGTGCACTCTTATAGTGTCCATGAAAGCACAAGTTCAAGTGACCAGAAATATATCAAATAAGATTGGTCCTTACTTGACAAGAAGATTATTTGGAGGAAAAGAAAACATAAGATAGGGTATTTTAATCGAACAGCGAAAATTTAACATTTTTATTGTAAAGTTTGTTGTAGGTAGTTGTAGTTTTGTGCTAAATATTTCTAACATTAGCAGCAGCAGTGTTCAGAGTGTCAAGAGGAGGAGAATTCAGTTAATTAGATTTATGCACAGTTACAGGTATGAAGGCTTTTTCAAACATAGTATTGAGTTCTATAGTCAACATTTTTAGTATTCCTACAACTGTAAAAACAAGGAACATTGGACTGAAAAAATGGCAAGATTTATATAGAAAGAAAGGGTATTATGCCAATAAGAAAATTAAATCTGTAGGCAGAAGTTTCTTATTTAAAAACTGTTATGGGGCATATATTAATTTGTATCTGTGCCACAAATCACTGAGAAAAATCATATAATATTCATAATTGTTAACGAGATGATATTTAAAGAGTGTTAAAAATGAGACTATTAGTCATGAAGCTTACAATGTTACTTTGTTTCAATATTACACTTTTATTCTTGTAAAATCTATGATGAAGTTCAAAAGCATTTTGCAATGGCCTTAAATTGTGAGTTGTGAGCCAGGATTTATAGTAAAGGTATTTGATGCAATGAAACTTAATCGGTACCTTCCAGTATGTATTTTAGTAAGGGGATTGTCAATCCCATGTTTTTAAATAGATAAAATACAGGCCAAAGTTGACAATATTACAGTTGAGAAGAAACTATTTTATCTTAAAAAAAAATTTCTTAAAATTCTGAGATCATATAATCTAATTTTCTTAATAATAAATTAGGTATATGTACATACAGAATTTTGTTATGGACAAATAAGGATCGACAAGCTTCTTTTGTGCAAAAAATAAATGATTTTTTCTAGTATTACGACAAACCATAATGTGTTTTACAAACTTACCGGTAACAGTTTTTGTTTATAATAAAATATTTAGGAATAATTTGGGTTGTTTATCAATATATTAATGACTTGAATTTTGACAAATCGAATTTGTATCAAAATAATTTTACGAAATATAAAATTGATGTTCTATTACAAGATTGAGTTTTTATTGTCGACAAAAACCAGGATAAATACTAATAATAATACCCTTAATAAAATCAATGATGTTTATGTATTATGAAAATATTTGTTAGAGGACATGTTATGTAACAGTTTTTGAAACACAATTTGAAGGGACGAATAAAAAAAATAAAACAAAAACATATTTTTTCTAGGTTTATATTAAAAATACAAGGTAGATAATCATCAAAAATAATTATGAACCAAATGTTTTTTATGAATATACAACTTGAACAAAAAGTTGTTTAGAACAATTTTTACCAAATTTGCAAAAATTTTAAATTGAAACGCGTAATTCAGTACAAGTAAACATGAAATATTGTAAATACTTATTTAATATCATTTCGAGTGTTTTACGACGAAAAGGTCATCTGTCCGTAGCGTCTTTTGTCAGAATATTCGTATATTTAGTGTATTATATACCAATATTGTACGCAGTTTTGAAACTGATAATTAAATAAATCATATTAATGTTAACTAACCATAATAAATGATAGAATTTCACTAAATTTAAATTGCCCCCCGTATGGTTGAAAACAGCAAATTGATATTTGATTACTTATAGCAGTGCCTTCTATTAAAAGATCAGCCTACGGGCGGACTTTTGTTTACTTCATCAGCTGTACATACTTAGATATTGGGTTAGATTCCGTTTCATATTTTGTCGGTTGATTTTTGGTTTTAACTCTTTGATTTTTGGTATTATTTATTATTGTAGTGCAAAAAACTAATTATTTTGGTGTTGAAGTGACATAAACTACTACCAGATATATGGTCACTCTCGGTTTCACACAAAAAAATAAAAATTTTAAAAATTACACGTTGTGCAAGTGATTTAACCTAAAAGTGCCCATACATTTTTTACTTATCGTGATTTTTGTGTGTGTTTTTTAAGACTCTAACAATTCATCAATAAAGCTTAAGTGGAGTGTGTTATTGGTGCTATGCCTCATCTTTGTTGTGTTCCTGGTGGAAAGGATGGTTACTAAGGATAGTTATTATACTAGGCAGCCTAAAGTGTCCGGAAGAGCAAGAAAAGTGGGTACGAGTTATAAATCAAGAGAATTTTATTGAAAATATCTTTAATAAATTTAAAAATAATATTCTCCCATGATGGTATTAATGAAAACTGGACAATTATGTTTATTTTATTCATATTGTGGAATCTCCACTCCAAGTGTTGCTGGTTCAGCTTCGATAGATTCAAACACGTAAGTAGGTATTATGATCTAGGAAAAATAAAGAATATGTGTATTAGAGATCATGAAAAAAGATTATTATTTTGAGTTCAAATTTTTAAAAGATTTTTGTAAAGACAAGACTGATACAGTTTAAAAAAAGAAGAATGTGTTTTTGTTTGATAATATATAATGTATGTTAAGCATAACATATATTTGTTCAGTAATTTTAATGAATAGTATTGATTATTTATAATACCAAATTAATATCAAATATTTAAGTGATGGCTGAATACAATATGAATAAAATAACAATAAAATTGGTATATTTGCATAATACAAAATTAAGTTTTAAGAATAAAGGTGTTACTAAAAATACTAAGAAATTCATATTTCTTTGTTTTAATTGGTCTAATGTTATTTACATTTTACGTAAGAATTATACCGTATCATCGAAAAAATCGGCGTCTAGTTGGCTTGAAATGAACATCGATGACATTCCTAAATAACTGTACACATAAAATAATTAACTAGAATTTTACAATCTTGGAAAATTTGATATTCTTGAACCTTGATTCTAAATATTCTAAATTTTTTGATTTTCTTGGAATTTAGGTTCGGGAAAAACGCTGATTGATTTTTCATTTGGTTTTCATTATTTTTATTTGGTTTAAAAAAAAACGGTTCGGCTAACATTATAGCCTCCATCAGTGTTGTGTCATATGAAAAAATAGTGTCGAATATAATCCAAAAAATTGCATATAAAATATGCACACCACGCACATAATGTTTACTGCGTACTCCATAGTCAATGTAGATAATTTTAGTGTTAAGAATAATAATTTTAAAAATATGTGGTCATGTTTTTGATAAGTTTATATTAGTTTATTAATTGCAGTAAACATTATGAGGTGTGAATTATATTGTATATGTAATTTTTGGATTATATTCGACACTATTTTTCTCATATGACACAACACTGTGAAGGCTATAGTTAGCCGAAACGTTTTTTTTAAAACCAAATAAAAATAATGAAACCCAAATGAAAACTTAATCAGCGTTTTTCCCGAACCTAAAAATCAAGAAAATCAAAAATTTTAGAATAATTTAACATATAAAATGCCAGCGATCTTCATTTCATAGCCATCGCTGACGCCTTTTTTTAGATAATATTGTATTATTTGTAAATATCATTTTTCGAACATTGATACTTGCAAAATATACATATAAATTTTGTGAATGCAAATAATAATACATCACTATTAGTAGATATTCAATGTTTTTTGTTAAATTAGATCGATTTTCAAACCCCAAAATTTAAAATATATTTTACATTTTACCCATTATCTTATGTATCTATTCATTATTTATGTAAAAGTATATTGTAAAACATTTGTTGCATTTGTATGGTTCATAGTTTATTTGCCAAAGTATTTATTACTATAAATAGGTATATATGCTGTAGTTATTAACTGTATATTATGTATATTTCATTTAAACTATATCATTTTTAAAATACAAACCAAAAATCTGAGGAATAATTATGTTTTCCATGTATTCTACAACATATTTATTAATCCGTTATATCTAACTAGCGTGACGTCATAAATCTCGCCCGTAGGCTGATCTTTTAATAGAAGGCATTGCCTGGAATATGGCGTCCAACTTGATTAGACCTTCTGCGCATGTTGACGCTCATTCTCTATCCCTTCTATTTCTCTGCCTTTAACCAGCTAAAAGGCGGGTTCTCACTTGTCAGTTTCGCTGACGCAGTCTGACTGATTCAGTGATACTGAACAAATAATGAACGTCAGAACACATTTTCATGTTAAATGATCAGTAAATTCGTACTTTCAGTTAAAGTGAAAGCCAGTTCTACTTTTTTCATTTTTGACTGATCATTATCGAATAATGAATAGAAACTGAAGCATGAGAACTACATTTTCGTGATTTGTTCAGTTTACAAGTTAAAGTTAATTAATTATTTTAATGTATATCTCCAAAAAACTCCTTTATGGGTATTTCGCCACTGCACTGCAAGAAAATCTACAAAATAAAATAGTTATTTTTTGTAAACACTTCTGGCGTTAAACCTAAACGGACACTGCTTATAAGAAGTTATGTTTACAGTTATACAAATTGGCTTAACAAAGAAAAAAATGCTTAACGTTTCGGAAAATCTATCGTCGGAAGCAAAAAAATTCAAAGAATAAAGAAAAAAGAACTATTTAAAATATTTAAATTCAAACTATTATGAGAACACGCGTTTTTTAAAGCAGATACGTCTACAAGAAACCGTTGACGTTCTGTTAAAATAGAACGTCAACGGTTTCTTGTAGACGTATCTGCTTTAAAAAAACGTTTTCTTCTTTTCTGATTCACCAGAATATTCTGTAATTCATTTGCTAATTGTAAACTTCGCGAATTAAAAACTTCGCGAACACCAGGTTTCAATTTTATTTTAACCATTTTCATGTCTGCAAAATCACCACCAAAATGTTTGGGCCAACTGAATACTGAATGTAGCAAAACATGAAACGTGTGAATACAATCGTTGATTTTTATTTTTCATTGATAATGAATCAGTCAGACTGCGTCAGCGAAACTGACAAGTGAGAACCCGCCTTAACACACAGAGATCATATTCTTTTCGAACTAAAATGCCTATTATAATTTAAAAAGAAGATTAACTTTCTAGTGACGTTTTGAAAGATGACGTGTATTTAAATTTTAATTTTAATGTTTTTATTGAAGATTTAGGTAACTTTGGATAATTTTTATGAAATAGAGGGCAAAATGGCTTTAATGACTATGATTGCACGTGTGGCAGATGGACTTCCATTAGCAGCAAGTATGCAGGAGGATGAACAAGTAAGCTTACAAGACTAGTAAACTTCAAAACCATTTTTATTTTTAACATATTTCTAGACTGGTCGAAATATCTTGGATTACCAAAACCAAGCAAAAATGTTATTTCGAAAGTTAGGCCCACAGTCTCCTAATAGATGTACAATTGAGACTGGCCCATATTTATTTCAGTAAGTTGAAAAACAGCATCTACTCCATTACTCGTTTTTACATCATATTGTACAAAAACTAATTTGTATATATTCTTTTAGCTATTTAATAGAGTATGATGTATGTTATTTAGTGTTATGTGAGAGAGCCTTTTCTAAAAGACTAGCATACTCTTATTTAGAAGATATCGCACAAGAATTCCATTCACAGTATGGTCGGAGAGTAAACACTGTTACAAGACCATACACATTTATTGAGTTTGATACATATATTCAAAAAGCCAAGAAGCAATTTAATGATTCTCGATCCAGAAGAAACTTAAATGCAATCAATAATCAGTTGCAAGATGTACAAAGGATTATGGTACAGAATATTGACGATGTATTGCAGAGAGGCACTGTATTATCAGGTAAGTCATTTTATCTATTTTTAATAAAATCTTATAATTATACATGCACGGTTGTTAATTTTAGAACTGGATACTAAGACACAAAATTTATCCATGTTAACACAAAAATATAAAAAAGATGCAACATATTTGAATACAAAATCTATGTATGTTAAGGCAGCAGTAGGAGGAATTGTAGTTTTAGTGTTTTTCCTATATTTTTGGGTGTTGTAAATAATGTAATTTTAACTATTAGGATCCAAAAATGTATATAAATTATTTTCAAAAATTTTACATTATATCTAAAATAAAGAACAGTAGGGAGTTGTTTATGTAATTGTTTTTTGTATATTATTTTTAAATAAAGTTATTTATTTTTGGTTATTTTTTTAAGTTTTAGAATAGAGTATAAAACAAATGTAAATATGTAAACAATTTTATTCAGCAAAAAAATGTAATAAAAAAAAGAATCAACTCGATAACAAAAATAAAATATAAAAACCCTAAATAAATTCAGTATCTAACTAGACATTTCTTCATCAGAATATTCTGTTATAAATAATAAATTCTTAAGAGATCTGTATAAACTTTCATCACTTTCAGCCTTCCTTAATATTTTTTCTACTTGTTGATTTCCAGTCTTAATATCATTGTTATTATTAGACTCTTCGTCTTCCTCATCTGTAACAATAAATCTTTATTTAACTACTTAAGAAAGTATTAATTGTGACTTTATAAAACAGCTCATATGTATGTTTGCTGATACAAATTTTAAAAAAATTGAATTCTAATTAGTGTCGATTTTTTATATTTAAATACACAAACATTTTAATTTTTACTAAATAACAAGCAGTTATTTTTGTAGAATTACCTGAATCAATAATATCAAATCCAGTACTATGTTCTTTCAGCAATACATAGATGGTGGGATATTCAATAATTAATTTTTTTGCCAAGCATTCTTTTAATGACATTCCAGAATCTATATCGTAAAATTTTTTACCCTTCTTCTGTTCAGCTTTCAAAAGAAATTTAACACCATTAATATCAGCTGCTTTGTAGAATTTTAGTTTTTCATTGATAGCAGCATCTTCTTCATTTGATATCAGTTTATTTATGATAGATCCAATTTTTTCAGTTTCTGGCACTTTATTTTCGTGAATTTTCAAAAACTCAGCATTCACAAATACAAATTCAATGTGCCAGGAAATGATATTTGTTCTAAAATTTAATTGAGTTGTGTTAGTCCTATGTCTTTCAAACTTATAGGGAAGAAATTTTAATACTATTCTTCTGTCCTTAGCTGCATTGCGTAGTTTAAAAAGGTGCTGAAAGTTAAAAAATAGTAATTTGGTTTACATATATACATGCTTTATTTACAGGAGGTATCACACGAGAATCATCTTTCTTTCCAAAATTCTTCTTTACTGTTTCCATATTTCTAGCAATTTCTTCCAGTAATCTATAATCACTTGAGAGATCTAAATTTGAAAATTTATTAATAGGTACAAATCTGGTGCGATCTCTTAATCCATCGCATTCAACTTCCAGTTTGTGAATTTTGTTGCACTTCAGTGAACAAGTTTTTACTTCACATTTTGGACAGGTGTATTTCGCATCGTGAAATGCACAAACTTCACATTTACCCAATCTATAAAAAAATAGATATCAAATTTAATAGCCCAACTCCTATTTAATATACCTATTAATGGTATGTATTATTAAAAGTTCACAAAACTAAAATTAATATAATCTTTTACCTTGGTTCTATTGGAGTTTGCGACGAAGACTGATTTTCTAATGATGGTTCCATGATATTTTTAATTATCCATAAAACTATTTAAAATTTTCAATTTCGAACAAAAAATAATATCACCACATTCAAAAAGTTAGGTTATAAACAGAACAAATAGAGATGATAGTTCCATATCGATATATTGAAAATATCGATATTGTAATAAAAGCCTTTTATTAAAAGGCAAATAAACAAATACAAAATACAATACAGGCGTAAACGAAGTAAGTACAAAAAATAAGGAAGTGGTTGCGCTTAAATGCTTATTTAGGTATACTATATACAGGATCTTCCTAAATTATTATCCTTATAAACATGGTTATTATTTAGGTATTTCCGCGGGTATATCAGAACGGCCGTTTTTTTCGATCATACGGTACAATACAGGCGTAAACGAAGTAAGTACAAAAAATAAGGAAGTGGTTGCGCTTAAATGCTTATTTAGGTATACTATATACAGGATCTTCCTAAATTATTATCCTTATAAACATGGTTATTATTTAGGTATTTCCGCGGGTATATCAGAACGGCTGGTACTCCGCTTTTAAAATGCCACGAATAATTTCAAGATAATTTTGAAGTATAAAGGACAATTTTAAAACGTTTTTGTCTCTACGCAATTTTCTTCTACACATAACAATATTATTATAGCTTACTTCAGGTTTTTCCTTAGGTTTTTCTTATGGAGTCTTTTAAAAACCCTCCTTTAAAGCTCCTAAAAAGCGTCTTTAAAGCCCTCCATAGATTTTCTTATTACCAATTTTGAACCGTCCTAGAGATATCTTAAGCTTGTCGCTCACTTGTCGGAAACGAAAGGACATGACATAAACAGAAGGGAAAAAATTCTGGCCGAAATCTTGGGCGCCAATTAACTTATTGAATTCTACTATATTAATATTACTATTTAATAAATATATTTATTATTTGAGTATATTATGGAGTATTTTATTATTAAAACACTTTCATTCACAGCGCTTTCAGATGGAGCGGAGCGACCGCGACGGACCGTCCGTCGTGTTTTTTCAAGATAGCCCTCGGACGAATCTTCCAGACGGAGCATACGCGACCCATGTGAAATTGTTCATATAAACTCATGGTACTTGCTCGAAGTCGCCGACGCTCCGCTCCATCTGAAAGCTCTGTTAACCTTTAAAATATTTTATAATTTTATTATATTATGTTATTGTATTCAAAATATCAATATTACAAATAAAACACTTTAAAAGTTAAATATATAAAATATAACTATGAAAATCTATAAAAGTACTACCATTTCCAGTTAGTTTCCAGAAGAATTATAAGTCAATTTAACTGGCTTGAATTCGCAACAAATAGGAAAAAAAACATTAAGTTTTGAAAAAGTTTATGACGAAATCAGCATGCTCAAAAAATAAATTTTAGTATGTATCATCTGGGGCCCGATTTTGTAAACATTTTTCCTGTCTAGTGACTCATCAATCGTATACAAATAGCATAGGGATAGGCTAGACAGGAAATTTCTTGCTACGGAGCTTACAGAATTCCACTGCTGTTGTCATGTTGATATTGTGGTTGTTTTTTTTATAATTTTCTGTCGACAGGTTGTTGGAGTGATATATCATTTTTTTTGTTATTGTATTCGCAAACTTTTTCCCATTTGTTGCAAACCTTTTCACGCCCTGTGCATATTGGTATACAAAAGAATATTTTATTTTTTATTTTGTCGCATTTTCATTAAGAGTTCGAATCGTCTATTTGACCGAACCCCTTGCAGTTGCTTCCTTGTTTCTTCCCGCCGATCAGAGCCAATCTTCGACTTATTCGTGACGGCTCGTATTTGTTCTTCTTTAGTTACCTTCTTATTTTCAGGGAATTTAAAACCGAATCGCGTCACTGCTTTCGGTTTGGTTTGATTAATCTGAACCTGTGCAACTTGGTTTTTGACAGCCGCCTTAACAGGAAGCTTGCTCCTTAAATCTTTCTTTTTCTTTTCCAAAGATGCCCTTTTTTCCAGCAACTTTTGCTGAGGCTTCGACAAAGTTTTCGACGAATTATTCAAACTGGATGTGTCTTTCTCTGGACCGAATTTCAACATCTTCCTTGATTCTTTATCAACATCATTTCTAATCAACGATGTAGATTGCGGAGGTTTGGAGCCGCTCATCAGAGTCTGAGCTCTCAATGCTTTCCTCTCTTGCAGCTGTTGGAGATTTTCCATTTTCTCATACTGTCTTTGATGGATTTTCTTAAAGTTTGGCATTTTAGCTCGCTTGAAGGATTTATTTATGCTGTCGTTTTTAGTGCCCTCGTTGTTCAAGACTGTCTTTAATAAACTTTCTTCTTTCTTGTGTGGGTATGGAGTGCTGGTGCTTGAGGGAGGGGAGTGTCTGGTAGATGTGGCTGAAAGGGGAAGTTATTAGGAAAATTTTAATGAATTATATTCTTTATGAAAGTAAAAGGCAAAGACGAGTTATTAATAAAAGATTGACTTTTTATTTCATTTTTTTTTTATTTTTCGAAAAAAAGCTATTTCGTTTAGAATGACATAGCGGGTGCGTCTCAAAAGTGGCTCACCCCTATAACTTTTTTATTTTTTCAGATAGACAACGAGATTTGGTATGTTAGTATATGACATAAATTAGGATTGATTGGCGTATTCAATTCGTTTCGGCCACTTCCTGTTTCACGAGTTTCACCGGAAATGACGACATCTTTAGATTTTTAAATGGCCCCCTGGGTATTTCTTTACTTTATTCAATAGAAAATTACTCTGTGAATAGAATGACATATCATATATGTCAACTTTTGACATTTTCGCTTAAAACAAAAATTTCAATCTAGAGTGCCATGGCTGTGTTAAAAAACTAAATTTTAATCAAGGAACCTTGGGAAAATAGATTTGATCGTCTAACGTTTTTAGTAGTGATGTGTCGGTATTTGAGTAACGCGATTTTGGAGGGGTATTTTTTTGTAACGTCGTGTCGCGCTCTACAACGAATCAGGTACCTGTTACTGAAGAACGACGATCATAATGACGACAAAATTATAAATTATTTATAATTTGCAAATAAATTATTTATAATCACACTTGAAGTTAGCTCGAACCGTAGTAACCGCATAGCGACGTGTTTAGCTCCAGCCGTCGCGATTTCGTCGGTCGCCAAGTAGTATCTGGAACTGGTATGTCCGTAGCGCCGCGCGATCTCGGTCGGGACGTGTTCGCTCCAGCCGTCGCGCTCCTAGAGTTGTAGTTCCCTGTCGCGAACAGAAGTAACTGTTGTAACTGGGCATCGACGCTCGACCTCGGCGGCGACCTACTTCGGTCCAGCCGTCGCGCTCCTAGGGTTTTAGTTCCCTGTCGCGAACAGAAGTAACTGCTGTAACTGATTATCGACGCTCGACCTCGGCGGCCACGTAGTTCATTCCAGCAGTGGCTGGAGCGCTTCTAGGGTTTCGGTTTTGCCTGTCGCGATTTGGTCGGTTACTATTGGCGTTGGTGCTCCCGTTAGCTACGTTACTTTCGAAATAGCGATTTTTGGTATGTACTAGGCATGGTATAAAATAGTGTTGTTTGAAAGATGAAACGCAAAAGCAAATAAAATAAAATAAAAATATTTTATTTGCTTTTATACATTGATATAAGTTTTATTGTTTATATCTATTTTTAAGGTTAGGTTAGACCAATAAACAATTTTTTTTGACAGTGGTTTGGACTTTGTACTTGATTTTAACATTAAATATATTATGCAATACAAATAAATATGAGCCGTTCATTTTATTTAAACGAAAATTGATAAAGAAAAAAATAAGAAGGAATGTCATCGTTTTTCTAAAAATGAGATAGATTGGCTATACACAATTATAAACTCGATACTATTTGGAAAATGAGTGGCGGATAAAAGTTACATTAATCTACAAATATAGATAAGTTAGATATATTTTTAGCGACCACAGCAACACTTTGGAAGTCGGAACCTCGGTTACAAAATTGCGGTATTTTTCTGGAACGGTCGCTATTGTAACGCGACTCACGTGGAACCGGTATTCCCATCACTAGTTTTTAGTGTCTCGTCCTGGCAGATTAAAAGATGCCCAAATCGTATTTATAATCATCTCATTTTTTTCAAAAGAAACGATGGTGGCTCATTAGCATATTTGGAAAAAGCATTTTTTATGAATAATTTGGTACCACACCCTTGGTATTCCGAGTCAAATTGTCGTTATGAATCGCATGTGGCAATTTCAAATAAACCATATTCAAAAATGTTAAAAAGTTAACATGTCATTCTTATCAGAGTGTCATTTTCTACCAAATAAAGTAACAAAATACCAAGGGTGCCATTTAAAAATCAGTAGTTGTAGTCATTTCCGGTGAAACAGAAAGTGACGAAGAATTGTATACATCAATCAATCTTAATTTATGTCATATACTAATATACCAAATCTCGATTTTTATCTGAAAAAATAAAAGTTATAGGGGTGAGCCACTTTAAGACCGGTATACAAAATAAAAGCAGACAAAAATCCCTACAAAATCAGTACTCCTTCTTTTGCAAATAATTCGTCGTCGTAAGAAGGTATTTTCTATAAAATATAAATCCCGAACCAAAATTTTAACTATTCTCGCAACTTATCGCAGTCTCTGTACGATATCAACGCATGTATACGCAAGATTAGAAATTCGGACTCGGTGAGCCTAATAACCAAAGCTGCAGCCAACTAAAAACTGAATAGAAAGTAGACATGCTAAAATGATACGGCAACTTACACGTATGATTATCTGATAGAAAACTGCTGTCGTCCATAGATTGAAGAGATTTCGGTCCTGGAGTCTTCCTAATCACTAACGGGGAGTGTAGCCGCATTTTCGGAGTGCTTGCTGATGGAGACTCAATACGTACAGACTTCTTTTTGTTTTCTGTTGCTGCCCTCGAAGGCGATGATTTTGGAGGGGTAATGAAAGACACTGACTTAGATTTATTGATTGCACTTCCACGTTTCTGAGCTGAAAATAGTAATAAAATAGCCAAATTAAATGATAATAGCAGCCTGCCAATAAATATGCCAATAATAACTGCCTCCCAGCAGTGGCGGCTCGTCAGGGTAGGCAAGAAGATTTTGGCAGAATTTAAGCGATTTATTACATTACATTATTTATTATGAATGTTGCCAATACATAAAAATACTGTTAATACACGGAAGTGTGTTTTAATAATCAATATTATTTTAATATTTGTGGTCTTGTATATTAACATATTCACTACCGCTGGCGTACGCTGACCGTTGACTGTGCCGCTGCGTTAGAAAACAAAATAATTTTGACCGTTGGAGTGCCTTTGTTCGGCGATTTCTACATCGCCTACTATCGATGCACGACGTACGGCAGTCTTCTGTCTCCGTCTAACTCATCGTGCGGTGGCGACCCGACGTAAGTCGGAGTTGTATCATATTAAGGCGGGGCTTAGGCGAAATCTCCGGCCGCCTTCGCATGAAGTCGTGGAGGCTCGGTAGGCTTAGATGTTAAGGGGATAAGTATTCCGGATATTTCATAAGGAGATATATCACATTTCGTTAAGGGGATATCGTCCCAATGCTGCCAAAAGTTACTAACTTACTTTTTATCACTTCCGAGAAAATGCGTCTAAAGATGAATAGCATTGCATAAAGATGTTAAGTTAGTAACTATTCGGTATTAAAATAAAACATAAATAGCCAGAAATCGTAGTTAATGACTTTTGCAATCGATTCTCCGCTTCAAAACATAGTTAGTGATTGAATTTGGTTGTCCGGAAAAATGTTAGTTAGTGACTTTTGGCAGCAATAGGACGATATTTCATATCATTCATTATACGTAGCATTTAAAACTTTTATATGAAAATTCAAAAAACGTTTAAAGCAAATTGGAAACATTTTTCGGGCTTGATTATTAAAAATGATATAACCGGTTGTATTTCAGAACACGGCACAGAAATAAAAGAATCCGAAATAAAAAAGCGCGTTATTTTATTCGGTGCAAGAAGACGATACAACAGATATTACAGAAAAGTCTCTGTGCTATTTCAATTCGATATGTTAATAAAAGCGGCTAAGTCAAATACCTTTGCGAATTTTATTTTATGAAATATTAGATAACATTGTTATACATTTAGAAATAAGGTTTGCAGATAGGTACTCGTATGTCTCAATTATTTTTATTTATCTCTTGCGGATCCGAAATTTAAAGAATCCTATAAAAAATTTCCAACGCATTTAACGTCTGATTTAACAAACTTGTTATATTGATACATTTCCAACGTCCAACGCATTTAATAGTGATTTAACAAACAAAAAAAGTTATTGACCAACATAAATTAATCAATAACTTGCAGGTATTAATAATAGATATGATAATTTCGAGCATAAAATAATTTAAGGAGAATAATCCTGGAAATATATTTCAAATTGTTTGCTTTGTTTGTTACTACACCTTTTACAAGTACTTGGGTTGAGAGACATTTTTCATGTTTGGAATGCATTAAAATTTATAGTAGAGATTCCATGAAAAATAAACGTTTATCGCCACTTTCCTTACTTTCAATCTAAAAAGATCTTTTCACAGCTCTTCAACAATCTGATGATTTTACTGATATAATAATAAATAACTTTTCTTTATTAAGAGACCGACTCATCAATTTAATATATAAAACATAATTATTCTTTCTCTCAATACTACCAATTTTTAAGTTTGCGTAAATAAATAAAAATAAAATAAAATTCTATGATATACTCCATAGTGAGTCCATAGTAATAGATAAAAAAAAATAATTTACATAACATTTTAATAAACATTATGTCAATCATTATGTCATTACGTTGAATGCTGTTATTTTTGTTTAGTTTTGCCCTAAATATTTTTGAGCTATGTTTTTTAACTCAGAGATAACATATATTTACAAACTGGGCTAGGGTATTATGCAAATTAGGGGGGGGGGGCAAATACACGCAACTAAAATTTTGTCGCCTACCCAGTCACACGGGTCGGCGCCGCGCCGTTGTTTTTTAGGATGGTGTAGATGCACCCTAAGAAGCAATCTATCAAATAGCGGCTTGTGCAACGAAATTATCTTTACCACCCATATTACTATCTCGGATTGTTATAATACTTACACAAAGGCTCTGTGTAAACCTTATTGAAAATAGGAGTCTTCTCGACTTGAGACCATCTTTTTCTCGAAGATCTTCTTTTCGCAGGAGACTCGGTCGTCAATTCGTCTTTAACGAAAGTCGAGTCTCGGGTTAAGCGACGTGTCGCGTCCACGTTCGGACATGCCGCAAACGAATTATGTATGACCATCGAATCTATATTTTCCAGCATCATATCGTTCAAGTCTGATTTGGATGTGTTTGGCAAAAAGGCGAAAAATTCATCGTTCGATTCTGTATCTTTTCGGTTTATTTCAGGAACAGACTGATATCCCTGGGACTTTTTGGAAGCTGGTTCCATTTGGGCTGACGATCTTGTGACTTCATAGGAATTAATATCATCGGAACTTGATACAAAGGAATGTGAATTCTCTGAAAGGAACGAATACGATTTTCTGTAAACTTCTGGAAATACTGACTCTGACCAGTAGCATGCAATCCATGAAAGCAAGGAAAGCAGTGCTTCCCGCCAAAAAATACCAAGTATTCCGAATAGAAAAGACTAAAGGTACATTCAGGCTGAGAGCATCGAGCGTCGCGTCGCGTTTGTGTCGCGTCCGCATGTCGAAATGGAATCAATTCGCTTAACTTAAATTAGACCGTTCAGGCAGACAGCGTCGCGTTTGGCGTTGCGCTAGCGTCCGCTGAGAGTCGGAGTTCGAGTTCAATGGGGCGGACGCGACGCAAACGCGACACAGTAAAGGTTCAAATTAAGAGTTTCCGGAACCGGAGCTGCTTTTTGGAAACGGGAATTTCGGTACCAAGCCTTTAAGGAACCGGGATTTCTCGGTTTCCTCGGTTCTTTCGGTATAAGCTAATTTTTGTTCAATGATGGTCCATTTTCCAATCGGCAAGCAAGAGATGGTTTTCGAAAGTAAAATTGAAGTTAATTGAGTTTTTTAATGAAAATTATGTCAAATTATTAAGTAATCGGTCATGAGAAAATTAAAAAAAACATGAACACAAATGAACACAAGTGAAGAAAAAACATAGGTAACTTAAAATTCACATCAAAAACATACAGGGTGGTCCGAACTGTATTCCGGAAACTTCGGCAGCATATTCTGCAAATAAAAATAAGTAAAAAACTTCGTATAAATGTATGTCCTAAAATACTTAGTTTCGGAGATACAGGGTGTAGAAGTTTCATTTTTATTTCGATTTTTTCTAAATAATTTCTGAAGTAACGAAGTAACGGCAATATTTGGATGAAAATTGGTGTCTGAGAGTTTTGTGACACGAGAAATTTGATTTTGATGTCAAAATGACTCCTATTTGTAGGGGGCACCACCTACATGCGTTTTGACTGTTTTGAACAGTAATAACTTTTCGACCGTACCTGTATAAAACTACTTACCACAAATATATACATTCCATGACTTTTTACATAAAAAATGTCTCTTGGTAAAAATCGCTACGAGTAACCGTTCTCAAAATATTTAAAATGGAAATGGTCAATACATGTCATTATTGACAAAAAATAAGCACACACGCGTTGAATAGAGTTATTTGACTGAAATAATAAATTTTGATTTTTTTATTAATCATAAATTTCTCTGCGAAAAAATGATGATAAAACAGTTTCTGTTGAACTTTTGGCATAAAAAGATTTCAAATTTAAGATTTCAGTCTAATAACTATTTAGTCAACATGTTTATAATTTGTCAATGATGACAGGTATTAATAATTTAAAGAGACCTTTTTTATGTAAAAAAAGTTGTAAATGTATATTTTTTTACTCAGTAGTTTTATACAGGTATGGACGAAAAGTTATTACTCTTCAAACCAATTAAAGCATATGTAGGTGGCGCCCTATGTCAAATTATTAAGTAATCGGTCATGAGAAAATTAAAAAAAACATGAACACAAATGAACACAAGTGAAGAAAAAACATAGGTAACTTAAAATTCACATCAAAAACATACAGGGTGGTCCGAACTGTATTCCGGAAACTTCGGCAGCATATTCTGCAAATAAAAATAAGTAAAAAACTCCTACACCCTGTATCTCCGAAACTAAGCATTTTAGGACATACATTTATATGAACTTTTACTTATTTTTTACTACTTTTTTTTACTTATTTTAATCTGCAGAATATGCTGCCAAAGTTTCCGGAACACAGTTCGGACCACCCTGTATAAAAAATATTTAAAGTTCATTAATTGATAATAAACATTATAGGAAGTAAGCACAATAAGAAATAGCATCAGAACTTATTTAGAAGATATTTTTCTTTTCTGGAGTAATATCTCACAAAATAAAAGTGCGCCCAGGCTATCGTCGCTCAAATGAGACCTATTCTTATTGCAAAGTAAACTTAGAGAAAAACTCTTAGAAGTTTGACGTTAGTTGGCAGAATTGTTAAAAGATTTTTAACAATTCCGACAACGAAGATATTTAAACCAATAAATATAAATACACTTTTGTAGTTTCTTTCAACTTCACTAAACACAGAATGATAACTGATAAAACCGCAAATAAAACTTCCAGTGCATACGCCAATCTTTATTCCATCTTAAGGTGAACGCGCACTGAAACGACTCCGGTCGATCCGCACAGTAAAGATCGAGCTATCGGCAGTTTTCACTTTACATGGAAAGAAATGTAACCTCGCGCACTGAATCGACTCTAGCCCGGCCAGCAACGGCGACTGCGACCATCGTAGATATAGACGGTGTTAACTAAAAAATTTCGGCCATAGGACAGTCGACTCACCGCGGTCGCCGTTTCTGGCCGGTCTGTGCCGATTCAGTGTGCGTCCTCCTTTATCTGACAGGAAACCCGTTTAGACGGGGCTAAGGCTAAGACGGTAGACCGCTTACAGGCCTACAGAACTGCCGTCGGTTTTCTAGGCGGTCTTCCGTTTAACTGACAGATAAAACGTTATGTGTAGACGGGCTTTAGACATTTTTGTGCTGATGCATTAGTATGAACAAAATTTAAATGATTAACAGGGTGTGAAAATATATGTATCTATACTAATATATATAAAATCCTTAAGTGACTGACTCACTGATTAATCACGATCCAGCTCAAACCACTAAACGTAAGAAGCTCAATTTTGGCATACAGGTTGATTCTAGGGGGTAGAGGTTCGATAAGAAGGGATTTTTCAAAATTCCAGTTCCAAGGGGGTGAAACCACCCCTCAAATATTACAATATTTATTATTTAAAAAACGATCAAGTTTCCGAAAAAAAACGCTTAAACAGGTATATTTTATTTTGTTTTTTTACATATTTTAAGATTTTTTAAAAATGTATACAAGGTGTTTCGAAACATCTGGTCATTGATAATCACGATCCTGCTTAAAGCGCTTGACGTAAAAAGCTGATTTTTGGAAAACTGATTGACTTTAGAGTGTAGAGGTTCGATAAGAAGGGATTTTTCGAAACTCGAATTCTAAGGGGGTGAAACCACCCCTCAAATGTTAGAATATTTTTTATTTAAAAACCGGTGAGTTTTTCGGGAAAACTCTTAAACACGTATATTTTATTTTGTTGTTTTACATATTTTAAGATTTTTTAAAAATTTATACAGGGTGTTCCATAAAATATGACCATTGAGTAATCACGATTCTGCTTAAACTGCTTGACGTTTAAAGCTGATTTTTGGCAAACGGATTGACTGTGGGGTGTAGAGGTTCGATAAGGAGGGGTTTCTCGAATCTCAAATTCCAAGAGGGTGAAAACGCCCCTCAAATATTACAATAGGTATTTGTTATTTAAAAAACGGTTAGTCTTTCGGGAAAACGCTTGGACACGAATTTATTTTGTTTTTTTACATATTTTGAAATTTTTTACAAAATCATACAGGGTGTTCCAAAAAGTTGGGTAATTGATTAACCTGGATTCTGCTTAAACTGCTTGACGTAAAAAGCTTATTTTTGGCAAACGGATTTTTCGATAGTCAAATTCCAATGAGATGAAACTAGGTACCCCTCAAATATTACCAAGTTATATATCGCCATATTGTTTTTTCTCATGCTGACATAAATGTGAGAAAATTTTATCCAGTTTGTATGTTAATGGAAATTCTTGCTTTGCTTTATCATCACTATTACAAATGATTAATTCGACGCGAACGAAGTCGCGGGTACACGCTAGTGAATATATAAAAAAGTATTTCGTTGGTCATGTTTACTTTTTAAAAAAGAAAAATGTCTCATTGACGATATTATGACGATGTCATTAATGAACTTGTATAAACTAGGTAAGTAAAGTGCTAATAGATAAGTTTTTAAAAATTGCTTTCCCTACTGAAAATTTCTCATGTTTTGTGTTCATGTAGATACCAAAGTGTACAGAAAGGCAAAATATCTTAACCACAATTAGATACTCTAGAAATTACAGATTTCTACATATTATACTTACTGGATCCCTTTTTGACGTTATTACTTAAACTATTCTGAGATTCTACGCTCCTCTTTACACTGCCATTGGATATGTTTAATGACCTTCTAGTATCCCACGTCCTTAGTCTCCTTCGAATTGTAACAAACCTGTTTCTTTTACCTTCATCATCACTTCCAGTTGAAAATTCTCTACTAATCTTCTTGAAGCTGCTCTTCCTCGATTCCATACGGGTTACGTTCAAATGATCCAATATGTCTGTGGCTTTGTTTGATTTTCTCTTAAAACTCACTTCCATAGATGTATCGTCGGTAAAAACACTATCATCCTCGATAGAAATCGGTCCAATAGATTTTGCAGAAGAAATTGATGATTTTGATCTGTTAGAAGTTTTTTTGGGCAATGCAGTTATTTGAATCTTTGGAATATTGTGGTCCTGCACAATATCCAAACATATACCGTTAGATATTTTCCGAAAATCATTATTTATAGAATGTTTTCCAGATATTCTTGATTCTTGAACGGGTGTTTTCAAATTCAAATTTCTACTGGAGAGCCTTGGATCTTGCCTGACTGATTTCCTAACAGAAGTCGTCAGGTTACCTACTGGCATCTGATATTCCGTATTAACAGTATCTTCAGTTTTTTGTGAAATCCATTCTGGATCTGATGATTCATATCTTAATTCACAGGTATTTTTATTTATAGAACGTTTTCCAGATATTCTTGATTCTTGAACGGGTGTTTTAAAGTTCAAACTTCTACTTGACAGCCTTGGATCTTGCCTGACTGACTTTCTAACAGAACTTGTCAGGTTACTTACTGACATCTGATGTTCGGTATTAACAGTGTCTAAATTTTGTGAAATCCATTCCTGACCTGATGAATCATATTTTATTTCATAGGTATCTCTTCTACTTCCTGCAAGTTCGTTGTCATCAAAATCTAGATTCGAGTTTAACTCACCAGAGTTTGATGTTTCAAATGTTGTTTTTTGCGGAGTAGGTGATGGCTTTCTGTTATTGGAATATCTAGATATTTTGTGATCTACGTTCTGCATACAACTAATACTTTTTCTTGTTAATTCTGTATATTCTTTAGGCTCAACATTCCCTTCTTCATTTTTGTTATATGTGCTCCTTTTTCTACTACTATTACAATTAGAAATCCCAGAATTTTTATCTTGTTCTTCTGTATATTTGTTAGGTTTTCCAGATGATTCCTTAAGTAGGATGCTTAATTCAGGCTTCAATTCAAATGTACTCCGTTTATTCTTTGCTACAGTGGTATTAGATTTCCAAATATCACTGGACATTCTGGAATTTTTAACTAATTTCTCTGTAGATTCTTTACCTTGTCCAAATAATTCAAGTTGGATGTTTGATGGTTCCTTTTCAAAAGTAGCTCTCTTTTTCTTACCCGAATTGGTGTTATGCTCTGTAACTGATCTATTTTCATTATTTGATGTTTTGTTTAACACCTTTGAACTACTGTTGGTTTTATTTATACTTTTGCAGTCAATTTTTTCCAAATGACTTTTTTCAGGAGTTTTCATAACATTCTTGTTTTCACTTTTATTTACATTTCTTAAACTATATGTTTTAGTATCCTGGAAAAAGTTATTGAAAGTTAAAAATTATTTAAAAAATATATATAAACTTCTTACCTCGTTACAAATAAAACCTTTAATATCTAATCCATTTCTTTTAGATTTTCTTTCCTGTTTTGGAGGATTATTATACATTACATGAACATTAATATCACTGTTTGGACTATCAACCTGAAAATTAAAATTCAAAGGTACCGTGAAAAATTAATTTCCCCCATTCTCTTACATCAATCATATGAAAAAGATTTTTACGTTTTCTTCTTAAAGCCCTACTTGTAGAATTCTTTTGCTCATATACCTCATTTTCTGTTGACTCTTCAGTTGTTTCGTTTTCTTTATTTTCAGAGGAGACAGTGGTAAAAGTTTTCTTATCCTCTAATATGTCATTAACCTAAAAATTTATAATTATAGTAAAACTACATTACTTAACACAGAGAATTTTATTACAGGCAGCGAAAATATTGGCGCTTTTCTCTTTATTTTCTTTGGTTTGAATTTCATATTTGTAGCATCATCTGATATTAGCATTTGATTGGATAAATAATTCATAGTCTCTCTAACTTTTCGAGTTTTCTTTTTAACACTAAGTTGAACGGATTCATCATCTGCAATGTCACCTCCCGTGCCACTCCCATCTGAATTATCATCCTTATAAATAAATAAAAATTGACCAAAAAAATATATAATTAATAAATCAAGCTTTACATTTACATCTGCTTTTCTTCTGTTTCTCCTTGTTTTCTTCTTACATTGGGCATTAAAGTGTGCCATTTGAATTGCATCAAGTAAATTCTTGGATACTTTAGCATTGCCCTTTTTTCCTATCTTTGAGGTACTTTTAGTAATGCTTGGAACACTAGTAATTTCGTTTGTAACAGGTCTACTATCAAACTGAAAACAAGACGACACGGATGGTGTTTTACATTTACTGGTCGAGTTAACAAGCGAAGGTGAGTTTTTTATTGTAGATCCTAGTCTTCGACTTAGCAGCCGTTCTGATCGAGCCGACATTTCGAAGTAAATAAATTAATAACTAATGCATTGACAAAAAGCTCAACAATATATTGAACAATAGACGTTTAACGTTCAATACACAGGTTCAATATAAAACTATAACTATAATATTCACAACACAGATAAATAACTACAACAATTTGATAACAGTCAAATTTTGGTCAAATTTAAAAATTTGATTTAAAAAAATGACATAAAAAACGATATTTAACGGACTATTAAATGCGCAAGTCCTAGGATAGTCCCAGGTCACGTCTCAGTAGAAGTAGAAGGGATTAACGCTTTTTATATGATTTTTTTCTGATTAATGTTCTTATTTTTGGAATATTATTAATATTAAACTTTATCTTTTAACATAAAATTTACCAGAATTGTTAATTCCATATATTTAAGTTAAAAAACTGCTTCAAAACTTAAAATTTAATTTCTCTGATTTAAATTAAAATCATATATCTCCGACAAAGGATGCTATCTGTGGATTACTGTGGACACAGGTCTATCTTCTTTCTTGATTAATTTATTGGCCTCGGCTGCCAGGGCTATCGACCGGCACCGGCGTATTCAAATTTGTCTTGAATTTTTCTTTCTTGCCGAGGACCGCGATTCGGATTACGCGTAAGCAAAGTAGGCCACGTCCAACGTCCAGATTATCTCAAAAATATTTGATTTAATAAAGGTTTTAATATTTATTTGAAATGTTTGGAAAGTTTATATAAAATTATTTTTTTCTTAAACATATATATTTCCTAAGAATATCTCAAAGTAATTAAAATACTGGGAGTCACTGATTCATCAATTTAAAAATTAATTATTTTTTTAAAAAATTATTTTTACATGATGCTGTATAGCTATCGTCTGTACCAGTAGCAAAGTCAACAATTGATCAATTTTATTGTGTTCAGTTATTTAACTTTTATAGTAGGTATAGCAATGTATTTTAAAACGATTTTATTTTTGTGAATGGCAAATGGTAAACAAATCAAGAGATATTTTTTTTTATCCATTTGTCATTTTTCACTTGCATACTGTAGTTTGACGTGAAGGTAGGAATTTGGTGATTACTCTATGTTTCTGTGTTATTGGAAACCTGGAAGTATTAAATACATTAATTTTCTTCTAATTTTCAAACACTTCTAGAAACAGGCTAAGAATCCGGGTTTTTCTGTTATTTTGGTTTGTCTCAATATTAATAATAGTAGTTTTTTGCGATTATTAGTCACTTATCATGACAGGTACTTTTTCCATCAATCCTTTTATGTAAAAAGTTGTTTATATTTTTATTTATATAATTTTAGATCTGCCAAAGACTGAGTACAATGTTAAAATCTGCGCTTCAAAGTAAGCTTCTTCAAACACTGCCTGATGATAGACCTGTTACAGCTTTACAAGTAAGAGTTTGACATGGAATAATGTAGCATTTATTAACCTTTATTGCATATCTAGATTGTAGAGAACGTTGAAAAGTGCCCTAGAGGTTTCTATCCTATCATTAAAACGTATGACCAAGACTCTGATGCTGACTTAGGAGAAAAGTCGATCTTTAAAAGCTCATCAGGAAGATATTTGTGTATATCCAAGAGTGAAGGTGAGACCATAATACTTAAATATTTACAAACCAGTTCAAAATGATGTTTATTCAGGACTGCCCAACTTTGTTGTTCAAGAAATATTTATATTAAATGAAAAAGCTAGTCCACCTAAAGGATTTAGCTTGTTAAATCGGACTGCAGACACAAGCCAGAAAGCTTGGAAGAAAAAGCAGATTTGCTATCGTTTAGTTAACTTAAAGGAAACAAAAACTGCCATAACTGATATCATAATCTGTAGTAGATTGAAAAAGGCGCCAAGTGGATTTTCTTTTGCTGGGTAAATACAGTTTATTGTAGTTATTTTTTTATTTTTGTCATGGAATTATGTTTTTTAAAATCACTTTCTTTGTTTATAGTTGCTATTTGAATTAACACATTTATTGTTGTAAATTTTAGAGATTTGAACGGTGTTACACTTTGTTACAAAATGGGTAATACCGAATCGACTCAAAATGGCACTGCCCCTGATAGACCACCTAAACCAATGTCGCCAAATAGTAATAATATGTATCCCTCACTCGGTGAGTACATGTAGTCTTTTTAGTAAAAGCTAGTATTAAAAATAGGCATGAAATAAAATAGTAATAACAACAGTTGGCAATAAGGATCTAATTAATATATTTTTATTGATAAGGATGACATAAAGAATTTCATTATAAATTTATCTCTGTATTGTACGATAAATATTTGATAAGCTTAGATCTAAAAAAATGGTTATCTACAGATATAGGATGCTGCATTATAAAACAATGTATAAATCTGTTTATTGTCATATCCTTGGTAAAAAGTATCTTCATAGAGTATGGGTTATTGTCCTTGCAGGATTATTTTTTTAAATAGGTGTATAGGGGATTGAAAGTAACATATTTATATGTTTAGTTATTAACTTCTAAATGGTATTTTATTTGTAATAGAAATAGTTAGATTTTAAATCCTGATATTTTTTTATAAAATATTGTAAGTGAAATAGGTACTTGGGCACCCTGTGTGATTTGATTAGTAACATTCAACCATCAGGATTAGTTCATCACACATTCAACTTTTTGATGTAAACTGTTTTTAATTTTGTACAAATTAGTCATATTATTTATATAACCAAATAATTTTGCAGGAATTGGTAAATAAAAAAATGTATAAAAAATCTTTAAAAAATCATTCACATCTTTCCGCACGGAATATCGTATCGAGATGCGGGCACGGTGCAGTTTCGTTGGGTTCGCTATGCCATGGCGTTGAAACGGCGTCAAGGCGTCAATGAATTTTTTGACACCGACACTTTTAATATAACGCAAGCTTTCCGCACGGAGTATCGTCTCTGGTATCGTATGGAGACGCGGGCCCAGTGCCATTTCGTTAGGTTGGCTATGCCAGCAGGATACATGATACAAAAAAAATAAGACATTATTAGGATACAATAAAACAGTTTTATTGTGTCATGCTGGGCCAATGTGATTCGATTTTCGATTTCTTGTTATATGCATATGAGCATCCATATATGTTTGCAGTTTTGCAGACTCAGTATTAGTGGAAATCTACGATAAATTTGTTATTGTTTATGAAATAAATATTATCGACGTCTTAAAGTCTCAAATATATGGTTCATGGGAGGATGGAGAGCTAAATCTGATGTTGACTCGCGTTTGCATCTTCTCGATTGTTATTGTAATAAAAAATTGTTAGTAAATAATAATTTTTTGTGTCTTATCGTGGAGAAAATATATATTTTATTGATAAAAGAGTGGTTTTCTTACAATATGGATTCGATTTAATGGTTATGCATAGGAATACTGTAAACTAACCAAAACTAAAACAAAACACGTGGTATGCTTAGTGCTATGGGAATTACCGATCTCCGATTTTGCGTAACAACAACCTTTGCAATCCAATGTTGCCGTCATCCTTTTATTGAGTATGTGTGCTCTAATTTTCTAATTTAAAAGACTACTTTAGCTCTTCAAGATGCTATATTAGATAACATTGTATATGAAACTACCCTTAAATTATCAAAAAAGTGTGTTTAATTTTTCTTGTATTTCAAAGTACGCAGTTTTTCATCATTTGGCAACATGGAGTACCGCGTCAGCCGTCGGGCCTCTCGGCAGTGAGCGGGAGAAACCCTGTGTTTTTAACTGAAATAACGCTGATTCACTACTGTGCCATATGACAGACAGTAATATAACACAGTCGTGCTGATACTCTGTGTTGATACCGGAAAAGGTGTCAGTGTTACTGTATCAACACACAAAAAATTACCCAGTACTACAGTAGATGGATATAATCTCATTTGTAGTATTTTGTAAACCTTTAAGGCGAACGCGCACTGAATCGACTTCGACCGGTCCACTTAACTAAGAGCTGCCGGCAGTTTCCACTTTACATAGAAATAAATGTAACCCCGAGCACTGAATCGACTTCGGTCCGGTCTGCAACGGCGACCGCGACCATCGCAGATGTAGACGGTGTCCACTAAAAAAAATCGGGCTGTATACGCCGGTGTCCTAAATCCACATATCTACGATAGTCGAGTCGCCACCCTCGCCGTTTCTGGCCGGTCCTTTATAATTATATTTGGAGCAAAATTTACAGAATAATTCAGTAAACTTTGGTAATATCGTAGAGTTAAAAATTGGTAATATTATACAAATTTTTAATCGTGAGAGATTTAGCGAAAAAAAAGCATATTTGAAAAGCCTTATTTCGGATTTCGTACACACGTACTTATACCATAATTTTATTTTATTATGATTAAACATTTTCTATCTATAAATAAAATCTATGAGTATTTAATAAATTAATCATTTTATTTTGTATTTATTTATTTTATCTAATGGGTCAGATTTTTTACTTCAGATTGTTGGGTCAGATCAAATAATATAAGACTATATTGCTAGTATCGCATTTACACAATGAGTGGAAAGTGAAGCCAAAGAAAAGAAATAGGAATATGAATCTTGCTTAAGTCTATCCTTTTGGTTCAACAGAATTTACGTGCGCACGCGCCAAATAAAACGATCTGATTCGTCTACTACATCGCTGAACGCTGTCACCTGCCTGCGCACTATTTTAAACTCTAAATATTAATAACGTATAATATATTATTTTTTTATTGGTAATGGCATTATTTCAACCTGTTATTTTAGATATTCATCATATCTAGGGTTACCAGATGCAAACTTGTCCAACTCGGGCGAGCCTTCCCAAAAATCCGGACGTCATAATTTTTTAGCGATATAAGAGCAAAAATAGTATATTGTTTTATTAGGAGTAAAACTGATACTTTTTGAGGCTATTATATAAGATGCTATTTTTTTTTCAAACGTTACAAATAATTTTTAAATAATTTCAACGTTCCAAATAATTTAAAAAGATTTACAAGTAATACCTTGTAAGTAATTATACGTATATCGAGAAACTATGGTTACGCTCGTTGAATTTGACACTATATGTCTTAATAGTAGATTATTTTCTTTTATCTATGACTATATGTCAGTGTCACAAGTCAGTTTTAATATATTTCGTACTTTTGTGCTTAGGCGAAAAAGTGCTTTACTTTTATGCCTAGGCGTTATAATTACTTTTTTTATGTTGTTAATCATGTCGCAAAAATTAATACTTTTGTGACATTTGAAAAAAAAAGAACATTTACAACTTTCAAAACTTAAAACTTACGAAGTAAAACAATGAATTTACACTGCTGAATTATTCCCATGATTTTATAAATAACTAACTTTATTAAAACTATATAAATTATTATTTATTTATTAAATCTAATATAATATTTTGCATTATTGTGACATATCTTAATCGAACATTAAAATCCGGACGCTTATGAAAAATCCGCCCGGACTCAACCGGACGTAGTGGGAATCCGGACGTCTGGTAACCCTAATCATATCTATCCGTTTCTTGTTTTTGTTTAAATTTCTCAGGGATTAAATTTATATTTATAAGTAAAGGCGCGAATAGTCGGACGCTAAATCGATTTACGCGGTAGATAGAAACTTAGAAAACTACTTTTATTGGTTAGTATGAAATAAATCAACTAACCGCGAAGCACTTCTCACGCTTGCGTAGTTCAAAGCTGTTGAACGAAAAGGGCCGACTAATGTGGATTTTGTATAGCTCCATCTCAAAAATTTGGCTTCAGTTTCTGTTCCTTACTAGCAATATAGTCTTATAATATATTTGGGTCAGATGTATCACTGACCGTTATCCTGTGTAAACTGTAATAAGAGTTCAAATTTGTCAAGACAAAAGGCACACAAAACTGAGAAAGCGATTTTGAAAATGGCTACAAAAGTATCTTTTCTGTCTTTAATGTATGAATGTAGAAATAGTCCTCTGATTTCTTCGTATTTTATTCTACAACTCAACGAAACTTATTTCAGGTGAAAGTGACCACGACTACGAAATCTTAAGACCCGGACCAGGTTATGGCCCTCCCGGACCTATCAGACCCGCCCCCAAGCCACCGGCACCCGCCATTCCCGTCAACCCTATGCAACCCTCATTGCAACACCAGAATTCGACTCACACTTTAGGAAATAGCACGCATTTCGGACTGGAAGGGGTGCCGTTTGTCGTCAACCCCAAGTTTTTGTCTAGCTCTGGTGACAGCAGGGTAAGAAATAATATCTTTATACAGGGTGTCCCAGTAATAAGTGCAAAAAGCTTGAATTTTGAAAACCACTGTATCTTTTCTGGGTTTTCTTTCTAGTAAATTAAATCTACTACCTATGTTGCCATATTATCAAGAAAGTATGATTTTTAACTAAAAAAAATCAACAGATTCCAAATTTTCAAAAAAAATGTTTGCGAAAAAAAACTCATAGGTGTGTTTCATAGGTGTGTTCAAAAAAAATATTTGCACTTATTTAAGACTCACTCTGTATAATAATTCATCAGATGAGTATATGCCAATAGAATATAAGTTTCTGTTAATGTGTTATAATTTATACTTAAAACGATGTTTTAAGTATAAATTTTTAAGTTTTTTACCAAATAATAGATAAAACTTTGAAAACTATATTTATACCGGGTGCGTCTCAAAAGTGAGCTCACCCCTATAACTTTTTTATTTTTTCAGTTAAATAAAAAGAGATTTGGTATGTTTGTATATGACATAAATTGGGATTGATTGACGTATTCAAATGTTTTCGGTCACTTCCTGTTTCACCGGAAATGACTACAACTTTTTATTTTTAAATGGGACCCTCGATATTTTTTTACTTTATTTGATAGAAAATAACACTCTGAATAGAATGACATATCATTTGTCAACTTTTGACATTTTCGCATATGGTTTATTTGAAATTATAACTTGTGGTTCGTAACGAAAAGTTGACTCCAAATACCAAGTGTGGGTATCATATTATTCGTAAAAAAATGCTTTTTCCAAATATGCTAATGAGCCACCTTTGTCCCATTTGAAAAAATTGAGATATGATTAAAAATACGATTTCAGCATTTTCTAACTGGCCGATGGCCGGGGCAAGACACTAAAAACATTAGACGATCAAATCTATTTTTCCAAGGCTCCTTGATTAAGAATTAGTGTTTTTGACAATGATGACAGTGATGATAATTTGACATTTGATATGTCATTCTACTCGGAATGTCATTTTCTATTGAATGAGAAAGTAAAAAAATACCGAGGGTGCCATTTAAAAATCAAAAGTTGTAGTCATTTCCGGTGAAACAGGAAATGACCAAAATCAAGTGAATACGTCAATCAATCCTAATTTATGTCATATACTAACATACCAAATCTCATTTTTTTATCTGAAAAAATAAAAAAGTTAAAGGGGTGAGCCACTTTTGAGACGCACCCGGTATAAATATCATGATATTTTCGAATCCCGATTATGATACCGTATGATCGAAAAAAAAACGGTGTCCAGTTATCTCGGAAATGACGATTTATGACATTCCCCATATAATTTTACATATAAAATGACAGCGATATTCATTTCATAGCCATCGCTGACGCCGTTTTTTTCGATCTATATTCGGTACTATAAAAAATGTCTTGGTAACAAGCTTGTATGTTATTTGCTCTCTAAAAATAAAGAATTACTTTAAAAAATATTTAAAGGGAACATGCTCTTATAAGGAAACTTTCCCACACAATTATCCTCGAAAAGAAAACGACGTTAGAGTGGTGTTTGAAATGACAATTGAAGGTAATGTCTCTATACATGTCATTTATTAAAAACTGATAAAAAAAATAATATTTAAGTGGAAGATCAAATAAAAAGTGTTTTCAAACATCATTTACACACAAATCTACTCACTAAAAAAATGTTTTTTTGAAAATGGTTATGTCTTTGGATACCATTTACTTATTTCATTTATTTAATACTTCCTCTCTTTGAGCCCCATCTACATTCCGAGTTTCAGCCCCCTAGCTTACATAGGGCCCGAGTTACGACGCTCCAAAGACCCATCTCAACTTCCTCATTGACTTACCACTGTTTTCTCGCTAGCTGGTATGTCAGGGTGCATCCACACCATTGTAGGAAAAGCGGATCGGCGTATCGATTTCGAGCAATTCTATTAGCTGAAATTTTTGACAGATAAATTTTCGAAAAATTTCAGCCAATAGAATTGCTGAATATGGAGACGCCGATCCGTCGTTCCGCTTTTTCTGGGATAGTGTGGAGGCGCCTTCAAGGCCGTGTCGTGTCAAGGCCACGTCGTGTCACGGCCTTGAATTTTTATTCCCATCGCGCGTAAAGAAGTTTCACTTCAAAAAAGCTAAGCGCGACCCCTTGTGTCAAAATTTTATTATTAAATTTTCGCAATTTTTACACCATTTGATGACCGGTGGCGTCTCTATTAAAGAAAAAGTTCTTCAGCGGGATGTTTTGTCATTTTAAATAAATAGGACATTGGGGTCGGCCCGTCGGGCCAGAAGATATCGTCATTTCTGTGTGTGTCTGTGTCGCTGATTTTTATGTATGGTATTGTTTAATTTTCATATTACCTTGTTCTTTTATTAGTTTCAGCTTCCTAAAATAAAAACCAAGACGATGCAACAGATACTAAAAGAATATGATTACACTTTTACTGTCGAACGCCAAGCCCAATAGAGAGAAATAACGAAAAAAAAAAGAATTCCGTATATTTTATCTATTTATTGTCTTAAAGACTTTTTCCCCTATGCATTATATCGTTGTGCCTTTTTTGTAACTGATTTCTGTAATGGTAAATAGTTTAGTTGACTTTATTCAAGTACAGCTCATCAGCATAAAGTCTAAACTCAATTTTACATCTTATATCATATTGCCAATATACGTATAAGACTGTGCATAGTTTAAGGATTGTTGAAATGAATCTTATTGAAAAACGGGGAGACTAACTAATAATTTTATTTTATTCGCTTAGATTATTTTTTCCCACGGCTGTACTATATTAAAAATATTCACGATTTTACTCCATTATATAGATTATATAAACAGATTTTAATAGTATAGAATACGACCGAATTAGAAAAAAATATATCGACATTAGATTAATTTTATCTCAATTTATAGTTAAGTTTCGATTTTAATCAAGTTATTTTATAAGTTAATGTAGTGATTAGTTTATGTACTTCCCCTATGTGTAAATAAATTTAATCTCTAGTTATTATTGTTTTTCCTTTGGTTTTTTCAGAGTAGAAAATTCTTTTAACCAGACTATTTTTCCAGGAAAAATCGTTGAAATCTACCGGGTTTCTACAGGTACATCGAAAGTCATATATATTTAGAATCATATAATCTTCTTTTTTTATCTATGTGGTCACTAATCATTATTGTATTCTCCCAGCACTAAAATCATATAATTTTACTGCTCTGTGGTCAGAACCACAGATTCCCTAACAATCCGCTAACCATAGATTATATTTATTTTTTTCTATTGCTAACTTCATACAATTATTGACAGACGTCAAAAGATATTGTGAATTGTGATTGTCATTCTCAAAAATTTCCTGAGTTGTTTATTTTTTAATAATTTCTAGAGGATAATTAGCTAAAATGGTTCTTGAAAGTAGCATGATATGGTAAGTCAGTGATTACTTCTCTTGGGAACGATATAACAATTATTCTTTTGTCATATTTATCAATTCAGTCGACCTCGATATCGAGATTCTGTTTTCATGAAACAACTCTAAATTTCATGTTTAAATAACTAAAATTTTATATTAAACTAGCGTTTTATCTTAATTTTTTACTATTACAATTTTCTTAAATTTATTTAGAAATGGTTCTGGAAAGTACCATGATTTGGTAAGGTTTAATATGTTAAATTTTTCTGTTTCTAACCTTCAATTACATGACTTAACATTTTTGCTATTATTTATAATAAAAGATATTATACTTTAAATATTTCTTTAGCGTTGATAATAGCGACTATATGAGGAATGGGGATTTCTTACCAACAAGACTTCAAGCTCAACAAGATGCAGTTAATTTAGTGTGTCATTCTAAAACAAGATCTAATCCTGAAAATAATGTTGGTTTGTTAACTTTGGCAAAGTAAGTACACTATTTAGAGTTTAATATCGACAATATAATAATCACCTAAGTTTTATGTATATTCCTTATATTTTTATAACATTTAATTTAAATGTATTAGTGTGGAGGTTCTTGCTACACTTACAAGTGATGTTGGACGTATTTTATCAAAATTACATCAGGTTCAACCAAATGGTGACATTAATTTGCATACAGGAATTAGAATTGCTCATGTAAGTTATTAAAAGCATATTTTTATATAACATTTATGTAATACTTTTTTATAGTTAGCTTTAAAGCATCGCCAAGGCAAGAACCATAAAATGAGAATAGTAGCTTTTGTTGGAAGTCCAGTAGCCAGTGAAGAGAAGGAGTTAGTGAAACTAGCCAAGAAATTAAAGAAAGAAAAAGTAAACGTCGATATTATTAGTTTTGGAGAGGATGCTGAAAACTCGGAAGTTCTGATGACTTTTATTAATACTTTGAATGGAAAGGTTTGTATGATGTTTAATTGCAACAACAATTATTTTATTGCAGGTATATTTTGATTATAGGATGGTACTAGCAGCCACTTGGTAACTGTCCCTCCGGGACCCCATCTATCTGATGCCTTAATCTCTTCCCCTATTATTCAAGGTGAAGACGGTACAGGCGGTGCAGGCTTGGGTGGTTCCGGATTTGAGTTTGGTGTTGATCCTAATGAAGATCCAGAATTGGCTTTGGTACCAACATTCTTTTTTTATTACTTGTAGTGTTTTTATTTTATTTTATTTTTTAGGCTTTGCGTGTTTCTATGGAGGAGCAACGTCAACGTCAAGAAGATGAAGCTAGGAGAGCTAGGGAGGCTTCTGGTACAGAAACGGGTGTTAAAACAGAAACTATTACAGAAGGTAGAGTATTATATCAAACACTAAAATTATTTAAATTGGCTACTTTAAAGTTGCTTTCTTTTCACCCATTCTAAGTTTTTAATTTATATACAGTCCATGAGGTAATTTCAAAACAAAGCAATCTCAAGTTATTAAGATACATTTTATAGCTCCATAAGTAGAGCAAAAAAGCTTTTTTCAAAAATCAGTTCTTCTAAAACATCAATGTTTGAATGTAAAATGTTTAACATCATTTGAAGAGGTGCGTTATTGGTTGAAGAATAAATAGTTCATATATTTTCAACGCACCTCAATTAGGAAAATATAAGAAAAAAATTGGTATTTTTGATTTTGTGCTAATTTTTGAATTTGAAAATAATTTACACCAGTTATATATTTTTTCCTTAAGAAGTAGTCCGTTATTCGACCACCCTGTAGTAACTGTAGTAACTATTTTTGAAGTCTTAAAGATGTATTAACCAAACTAAACCAAACTATTAAAAATAGCAACTTGTCTTGTTTATAGGAAAAAATCAACAATAACAGAAATACTAAAAGATATTTTTAACAAAAGACGTGATTTATTATAATCAAGTCATTTTTTTGAAACATGATTATATTAATTGTGGGAATTTTTTATGATAATTTACTGATATAGAACCATCTGAAGAAGCATTGCTAGAAAGGGCTCTAGCTATGTCAATGGAAGATGGTGGTACTACCACCACTACTACTACCGCTGCTCAACCAGCCGCTAGAGTGCCTGTTGACTTTGCCAATATGACAGAGGACGAGCAAATAGCTTTTGCAATGCAGATGTCAATGCAAGATGCAGGTAAGTTCTATAATGTTCTTTCGTTCAAATTTAGACTTAAAAAATAGTATTTTATATTAGGTTTCATGTTTTATTTTGTTTCTTTTCGTTTCATTGAAGTTTTTACTTCATTTTTTTACAAATTAGTGGGCAGTGGTATACTGCAAGTTACTTTACCCTTTATAATATTAAAATTTGTTTTATTGAAATGTACTTTCAATTATATTTTTCTTTAAGAAGTCTGTGGGTGGTTTTACCAACAATAGGCTTTTGCGGCCGCTGTGGGGCGTTCCACCAGGTACCCACTTTTACAGTATGTCTCCAGATTGTCACTCGGTTTTTTATTATTGTCATTTTTAAAAAAATAGATTCTTTATAAACAATTCTGCTTGTTCTAAAATGGTTAATACCGTTTATACTTTTCCAAATTTTCATACCGTTTTAACTTCTAAAGACAACCACGGGACATACTGTATATTTTGTAATGATTTAATTTTCAAATGTATAGTTTTCAGATATTTACCTATACTTAGTATAAAACGGTATTCCTTGCCAAATTTCATAGTTTTATGTCAACGGAACATACCCTATAAATTTTGATTCCCTTGAGAGTGTCGAAATATACACGTTTTTTGCGGCATAAACGCCCGTATCTTTTTTTACGTTAACTTAGTTTAATTATTTTACAGCTTCAGCCCAAGTAGCATTTTTGGACACATTTTAGGTAATGTTTCTAATAATCGTGTCTCTGTTTCTTGACACAAAATGGAAACGGTATACAACAAATAGGAAACATTTTCGAAACCTATACATTTTATTTGGCTTTATTACATGTGTTTCCACTGTTGTGGCACTAGCCGTTTCCTAATGTATTTCGAAGCGGAATGAAAACTTTAAGAGGAAATGTTTTGAAACATTTTCTGCAATTTGTGTCCAAGATGTTCCCGTTTTCAGCAGCCACTGTTTCTAAATGCGAAGAAACAAAATACCAAACTAAGATAGTCTATGTCTGTTGAGGATTTCAAAATGAAAAACAAACCATCAACAATGTCGAACTCCGCCATAATTTTTTTGTCTTAAAATCCTTGTTTTTAGGTTTTCTCGTACAAAAAAGATCTGGCAAAAGTAAATTCATCGTTTAATTTATTAATGTACTTTCATATTTTTAATGCTCCTTCTATATATCATTATTTGTTACTACAAAATATTTTTGTTTGAAATATAGATTTTTATTTTTATCTCTATTATCATGGTTCTGAAAATAATATATAAAGTGACGTAAGTAGTACGCGTTCTTATGAGTTTGAATGCTTAACAGCCGATAAAAAACTATATTTTTAGTTAAAAACGCTATCAACATAGCGGAATTTTAATTCATTATATTATTATAAAATTGACATGGAGTCGGACACAACTCATCTACATTATGTCATATTTGTGTCTAAAAAGAGTGAAACTCGTGTTTCAAAAATGAATCGACAATAAATGGAAACCTTGTTTCCATAATGTTTCGATTTAGCGCTATCTGTGTTGAAATTTCGAACTAGTCACCTGTCAACAACGCTAATCAAAACTTCTGGTCAAAATAATTAAAACAGTTTTATTTACTTATAACACAATTAAACATAAAAACATGTATTCCATTGTGGAAAAAAGAGAAAAAAACGTTTGCTGATAACATTTTTCTTCGGTCTCCTGTTGGGTCTGGGTAGTGGCTGTTATTACATTTATTCCTAAAACAAATAATCTCTGTAATGCATATAATAAATTATTATAAAATCGCATAAGAAAAGTATCTGTATTTGTACTCACCATTTGTCCTTCCTTCTGCCTTTTTAATTATAGTACTATAAAAACTTGAAGAATGCTTAAATGCAAAAACTGCAGAACAAAATTAAAACAATAAAGTAAGATTATATTCTCGTATTTGACAGAATATCAAATAAATTATGGAAACTTTTCAGGTCCAAAACGGGTACGAAATATGTAAATGTGAGCCACATCTGTTATTTAAAAGTCTCGAAAAATTTGTGACACATTGTTATAGCTTATGTAGCTAAACCATATTTTGGTAAAATGTTTCGAAACAATAAGCGATTTATATTAGGAAACATAAGTATCAGAATTGTGACGAAACGTTTCGCAAATTTTTCTCAGCAGAGATTTTGTTTCGATTTTGTGTCTAAAAATGCTACTTGGGGTATATCGTGAGTGTCGGATTTGAAACACCCGGTATAAGACTATTATTATTATAAATGATTTTTGTAACATACCGCAACAGACAGTTTGTTGTCACACAAATTCTGTATTAACTTTTTTCAATAATTGAATAAAACATTTTCCCCTTTGTTGCAAACATTTTCGCACACTCTGTATATTAAATTTTAGACGAACAAACTACAGTTACTTCAGCGCAGGCTAAAGAAGAACCGATGGAAGTTGAAGGCGACGAAGACTATTCCGAAGTAATGAACGATCCGGTATTTCTACAGAGTGTCCTGGAAAACCTTCCTGGTGTAGATCCTCAGTCGGAGGCGGTTCGTCAGGCAGTTGGTAGCTTGAAAGATAAGAAAAAAGATGAAAAATCGGACGATAAGCAAAAGAAATGAACAAATTTAATTAATTCACTTTAATAGCTTTTGTGGTAATCGTATTATAGTATACATGAATTTGTTTTTTATTAATGCCTTGTAAGTTTATGTTAGGCCTTGGTAGGTCTACAAAATATATATTTCTATAATTGAATAAGGTTAGTTTTAATAATGTCTTTGTTGTAGACTGACCAAGAGTTCTCAATAAATTTGCTATAGTATATAAATAAGTCATATGTTATTTATGTCCTTACTTTTTCCTATCTCAATTCAATGATAATAGAAGGTATATATTTTAGTGTGCAGTGGTGTTAGGTCTAGAACGAGGGGTGTTTCACTTGGGTAAGAAATGTACATGTAATGCAAAAATATCTTTTTACTACCAAGCGACTGCCAATGACCGCGACTGCCGTAAAACTGACAATGACTGCTAGCGACTGCCGGGAAAATGTACATGTAATTCCAATAGTGAGACCCTCTTCGGTCTAATCGTAGAATGACCTCCATTCGAGTTGATGGGAACGTTCTTATGTCTTCTGGGATGCAGATGCGTGCCAGTTTCTGCATTTTGCACAGGTTTTACCTTGCTGTGCGTTGCTCTAGTTTTCAAAACCAAGCAACTGCTCCATAAGTAATAATGGGGCTTATTATTATAGTATTCATCCAGCGCAAAATGTGAGGGGCTCAGCCCCATCTATCTATTTCCCGCCAGTATACATGGTGAGGTCGGAAACTTTGCAGACTACCTTGTACATCATGACTTCTACTAGAAATATTTTTATTCTTGCATATTGTTGGGTATAGGGTGAACATGTCAGTGGTCGGGCAGTTTAAAAAAAGCTGAGTTTAAATTGTTGATGAAATTTTCTTTATTGGTGGCATGGAAATAAAATTTTATGAAATAGATAGTGTGGTTATTGGGCTTCATGTGAAGTATACCTATATATGTTATTTCCATAAACCTACCAATAATTTTAATTATTTTTTCAAGTGCTGTTTTGTCAGTATATAGTCAGTCAGTGCTTGCTAGTATCCGGCTGGGTAGTTACCATAAGTCGGAGACTTTGTGATTAGCTGATTCTGCACAGTCCTGTATTTAATATAATATGTATAATTTTAATGCAAATTTAATCTTAAACATTATATACCGTTTATTGTTGTATGTTATCTAGATGAAAAAAATCATCTTTAAACGATACCAACGCGGTTCATAAAACCATGCTTTAGTAACAGCGTTTTCAACTTTTCTTCTTCTAGGTACAATTTTTTTAACTGTATTAAGTAATACCTGTTTAAATGGAAATCCGCAAACGACTAAGTTTCAATCCAGGTAACAAGTTTTTTTTTCAATTTCCCTGGTTAAAACAAGTTCTGGTTCCATTCGTTTGCAAACGTCGCTTATTTGTCTTTAATACAGTCCTGTACTGTTGACTTGGAATCCTGTACTGACTGCATGTTTTACGCGATTTTCACTCTTCTCGCGGACATTTTGAACTGTTTGCATGCATTTTTATTGTATTGATGAAAACTCCCTTTTACTTTAGGCTTCATGCTTGAAAATATCCAAAACATCATAAACAATTAGTCTAAACTCTGCAATATGATGTCGAAAAGCGGCTACTGTTCGACGTCTCAAATATATTAAATTTAGCGTTGACCAGCGATCGGACAACTTTTATTTCCTTTGATCTGCGTTTGTGTTGAGTTTTTCCTATCCGACCGCTAAACACTACCAAAAACTCATGTCATTATATTTCAAACGAAAAAGACGGTAGATATTACATATCAATTATCAAGAAAAAGACTAAAACAAAAGAGTTATTTTTCCAATAGACTAGACTTAGAGCAAAATTATATACGAGTTAGAAAGCACAAACATGTGGTCACTTTCCCGAATTTTTAAGAGTTTCAGGGTGACAATTTAGACAAAAAAAATGTTATAGAACAAAGCGGCATAATTAAAAACTCAATTCTGCCAAGAATTGAGCAATACTAAGCCATATTTTTAACTCATTTCTCAATAAATACGTTATGTCCGACCACTAGTGGATGTCCGATTGGCATATTCACCCTATATCGATATTCAATTTTTTCAATTATTTGTCTATTCTAAATTAATTTCTCCGATAAGTCTCTTTCATTTCTTTTATATCACTCTGTATCCATTGTATTTCTTCGACCCATATTTTGGACGATCGGCGTGGGAATTGGACGGTTTACTTAGCGCGCATACGTAACTTATTTATTTATAAACTTTTTCAGCCGATTCTCGGTCTAGATTTACTTATTCATCAATCTCTTTTGTGGAGATAGACTGTTGAGAAACATCGTTCCGCCATACTTTCCGTTCCTATTATAAGTAATATTTGTGTGAATGTTGGATTCCGCCTATCTACTTAAATCTCCCTGTTTCACATTTTTATGATTTATATTATATACCCGGTGCGTCTCAAAAGTGTCTATAACTTTTTAATTTTTTTAGATAAAACAACGAGATTTGGTATTTTAATATATGACATAAATTAGGATTGATTGGCATATTCAATTGTTTTCGGTCTTCAACTTCAACTTCCGATTTCACCAGAAATTACTACAACTTTTGATTTTTAAATGACACCCTCGGTATTTTTTTAATTTATTCGATAGAAAATGACACTTTGAATAGAATGACATATCATATGTCAAACTTTTGACATTTTCGCATATGGTTTAGTTGAAATTATAACATGCGGTTCATAACGACAATTTGACTCGAAATACCAAATGTGTGGTATCAAATTATTCGTAAAAAATGCTGTTTCCAAATATGCTAATGAACCACCCTCGTTCCATTTGAAAAAATTGAGATATGATTAAAAATACGATTTGGACATCTTTTAACCGGCCAGGACAAGACACGAAAAACATTAGACGATCAAATATATTTTTCCAAGGCTCCTTGATTAAAAATTAGTGTTTGTAACACAACCATGGCACTCTAGATTGAAATTTAAAATACAATTTGTTTTTAAACGAATATGTCAAAAGTTGACGTATGATATGCCATTCGATTCAGAGTGTCATTTTCTATCAAATAAAGTAAAAAAATACCGAGGGTGCCATTTAAAAATCAAAAGTTGTAGTCATTTCCGGTGAAACAGGACCGAAACCAATTAAATACGTCAATCAATCCTAATTTATGTCATAAATATACTAGCATACCAAATCTCGTTTATTTATCTGAAAAAATAAGAAAGTTATAGGGGTGAGCCACTTTTGAGACGCACCCGGTATATCTACGTTTCTTTTGACGTTTAGGAAATTGCGAGTAAGAGATTTAGAAATTTTGAAACATCGCGAGATTAGATTTTAGTCTGTTAGATATCTATATTAAGCTTATTTCGGTAAGTACATTCGTTTTTTCGTAATCTCAAAATAAGATTGATATTTTAATTTAATTTTTATTCAAAAGCCAAAATTAAGAAGATAAAAATAAGAAAAAAGATGATGTTTCGTAGATATTCGTGGTGCATATATTATTACATGTATATATACTTACAACGGTAAATTTTTATAACATGATCTTTGTCTGGTATTTTACCGTTGAAAACCCCATTAACACAGCGAATATTTGAAAAACCGTTAAAAATTTAGAACTTGCCGCTTTAAATGCAAAAATGTTCATTTTTTAATTCTGCATCTAAACGAAAAATAATATACAGGGAGTTGCTTTTAAAAAAATAGAGATATAACATTTTTTAAATGTTGCGATATTGGCGACGCCATAAAAAATACCCGTTATATACTGTTATTCTTGGTGCTTAGGAAAATATAGCTAGGTATTAATAAAGTTATATTCACTCCAATTTTTAACCACTTTTCGGATATAGTTTTTTTAGCTAAAGTTTTAGTAAATAAGACATACAATGGCAACACCGCATAGCGCTTCAAATAAAAATAGTGTACTATATGCGAATTTTATGCTGAATCCAATTGTGTACAGAAAAATGGGAGATACAATCTACAAAAATATTAAACTTATTACATATTTTTTTGGGGGACACCCTATATACAACCAAATATTTTTAGGATATGCACCATTATAAAACCATGCAACATCTATATAAAACTTTTTTTCATATCTTCCTCAACAACTACGATACTGGACTTCCTCGTACTAATGGGTCACCCTGTAGGTGTTTATGGAAATTAAAACTAATATGAATGAAATTTTCCCAAATAATTAACCGTCACCGTATCTCTTGTAGTTTTCTAGATCCCGCAATGATGTGGCTTGAAATTGGGACACCCTGTAGATGAGGACTCTCCCCCGTCTGAGGACTCCATTTGGATACATCTATTCACGGTGCCGAGTTTGGTTCCAATCCACCTAAGAAAAATCCTGATGATTTCGTTTATACATATAGAGGCATTTCGAAACGTCATCCTATAGTCCATCCCCAATTGTGCCGAAATCGACCCACATTTTTCTTCATTATCAAATCCTTAGTCTCACATTGGTCTCACCCTGATGAAAATGTAAACGAAACGTCGTATCCAACTTCGCAGGGTGGAACCGTGTGCACTATCGCTCACATAGCCTACCCACCAAATTTGGTCGTGATCGGTCGACATCAACTTTTGACGTTTCTTACGTCAGAACTAATTGTCACAGTAACACGTGTCGTACAAGATCAAGCTGGCCTATAAATATAGCACATTCGAGATATAGAGTTTATAAAAATTCGCCCACTTTAAATAAGTAGGCTTTAAACGGTGCCAGCTGTAATGCAAAAAAATTCTAGCTGTGAGCATCAATTGAAACAAAAATAATATTTGCAATGAGATGCAGAATTTTATAACAATTTAAACTATATTTAACCAACATCAACATATTTAAACTATGTATATCTAATAACAATAAAAATAAATAGTAAACCCATACATTGAGATTTTGCTTCAGGTGTTCGACATATCAACCGTCTTCTATTATGGACAGACGGGGTCGTTTTTGAGCATTTCTCGCGGAATTCGTTAACTCAGTGGGGGTGAAAGACACCATCTTACACTTGCTAAGTATTTCTAATGATTATCTAGATTATACGAGCAATTTAAAAGTAAGAACCTTTATTCTTCCGCAAAGATATCCATAGGATTAGATTCATAGGCACTAAGTCCGGCGGCCTCGACGGCCAACGGCTGGGATCTTGGTTAGCTATTCTTGAAATTGACAGCAAAAATTTGCTGATAACTTCAACGTTCTGAGGCGGTGCCTCGTCTTGCTGGAAAAATATGTTTTCAAGTTCCATATTAGGGGCATATCATCAATAAGGGTCCAAAGCCGACTAGTTGAAAGTGGCGAACTTTTAAAGATTCTGTATTTCGAAGGGAATTATAACAAAATATCAAGTGCGCTATATTTTTGGAAAGGCAATTTTAAGTTCTCTTCAGTTAATTAAAAATATACAGGATGTCCCAAATAAAAAATCTCTTAAATTATTAATTTAAAAAAAATATACTTAAACTATTAAATTCTACGTAAAAACGTGCTTTGAAAATGTTTTTTGATAGAAATTTTCTATAGAAAAAAAGTTACAGCGATTTGTTAAAAATGCATATTTTTGAAAAACACCCCGTAACACCGAAACGGTAACAGATATTGATGTGTGGTTTTTACCATCATGTTTTTGATGGAAATTGAGCTCCAGACACTGATATTAATTTTCCCTTAAAAAGTTCTTTTAAAAGCGTCCCATTTGACCCACCCTGTACAATGTGGTAGTTTTTTCTTTTTATATGTTTTTTTTTCAGTGTAGAAAAGAGACAGAAAAAAGTGACGGGTAATATTCTGATCCCCAAAACTTTTTTTTTGATTAACGATATTTACATTCGCATTGCGTTACGGGTAGTTCCTTGATTTCAAACACTAACAACAAATCAATAGGGAAAAATTTACCAAAAAGTAAGGCGAAAAAATACGCAAAAAAATTCCACCCGGGCCCCTTCTCACAATTATTGTGGCCCAGTCCGACCCTAGGACAAACTATAGTGATTCAAAAGGATCGCAGTACTATGTCCCATTGAACCCTTGTGTACTTTCCCCTTCCATACTTAGATACTGTCATCTGTTAGGTACTACAAATTGATTTGGAAGCTCTCTTCTAGTAAGAGCTTTCAATTATTTTATTTCGCCGAGCACGATTTATTATCCGACAGATTTACCACCACCGACGGTAACTCCAACTTCGGTACTACCGCTCGATCTTCGGTGGCCGGAGCAGGCGGTACCAAAAGGAAGAATACGAAGAAGAAGGACGAGAGAAGACGTTGTCGAGGAAGAACGGCAGCAGCCAGTGAGTGACATTGACTCTGACTGGGCTGGCAGTACCTTAGGAGACCGGTCGCGAAAAAGTTTGTTAGCCCCGGCATAGTACGCTCTCGTGCGACGTTCAACGACGTCTTCGCCAGCATTCAACGGTTTATTTTTCCTCGTTTTATCTCTGCCAGGTTCGTTGTGCGTTTTTCTGGTCTTGGTTGATGAGCCGATGAAGCGCGGTGAGTATTTTTTCTGTTTTTAAAGAAAAAGTTATAGTAAAAAATGCGTGCTTTGAAGGTATACAGGGACCGGCAAAAATGCGTCGGGCAACTGTAGCTTCGAGAATAAAAAACTTGAGAATTTAATTTAAGTGCAAACCTATATAAAGTATATACAAGGATGTATTTCAGGAAAATATTTTAACTTCTATAGGGTGGCTCAAAAAAGTGTGAGTGGATCAGGTATTTTTTGGTAAATGGAACACCCTGTATATTATTGCATTTTTGGCTTTCTTTCAGATATGAGTAAAAATGTTTCGACAGTTTCAGAGATATTAATAAATAAATAAAAAAAATATATATTTTTTTTTTATTTTTTGTTACTAGATGGAGAGTTAAAAGCGAACATTTTTTTTATTTAAAGTATTTCAAATTGTTAAGTTTTGCAGATACACGCAGTATTATTTCATATGGCTTTTTCAACGGTAAAATACGAGAGAAAAATCATTGGGTGGCTTTGATAAAAATTTACTATGGAAAATGCCATATGAAATATAAAACCGCGAATATCTGCGAAACCGTTAAAAATTTTGAAATATACAAAAAATGTGCATTTTTTAATTCTCCATCTGCTGACAGAATAATATACAGGGTGTTCCATATAAAAAAAAGTAAGAAATATTATTTTATATTTTAGTAAGTTTGGCGTAGAATTTTGAACATCCTGTGTGATTTACAATTACCATATTTATAGCAAAGTAAGTACAGACCATCTAAAGTAAACACCTAATATAGTTTTGATTTCAGAACAGTTCTTGTATTTTTAATAATTTTTTTAAGAAATGCTGAAAAATATATATTTGTTTATTTATTTATTAATATCTCTGAAACTATCGAAACATATTTACTCATATCTTAGGATTATGTAAAGTGATCTGAAAGGAAGCCAAAATTGCAATAATATACCGGGGGTGGCATTTAAAAAAAATCATCTCAATCCGCTCACACTTTTTTCCGCACTATTGCCGGACCCTGTACACTTAAGAGTACCCAATTTGTAAATATAACACTATGTGTAAAGTAACTTTATGTAACCTTTATAAAGAAGAATTAAATGATAATATAAAAGTATTACTGTTTAACGGTTTGAGTAATTTGACTATTTTCTTACCATATGTTTTAATAGTTCCTACAGATTACAATTGAGGGTTGGAACCTTTGGTGTTACAACAGCAAAATAAAACACTAATTCACCACAATACACCAAAACACTTTACTTTTGCACTGAAGCCGCGTTTCGCTAACCATGTTGATTGATAACCATGAGATGATTTTATTTTTGGTTTATTATGGAGAAAAGTTTTAATAAAGAATATCTAGTATATCCAAACCATTGTAAAAATATATAAACTTTTGGACAAACTTTAAAACCCATACCTATTTCGTCCCATTGCTGCCAAAAGTCACTAACTTACTTTTTATTACTTCCGAGAAAAACGCGTCTAAAGATAAATTGCAGTGCATAAAGTTGTTGTTAGTAACTATTCGGAATTAAAATACAGCATAAATAGCCAGAAATTTCAATCGATTCTCGGCTTCAAAATAAAGTTAGTAATTGAATTTTCAGGTTATTCGGTAAAATGTTAGTTAGTGACTTTTAGCAGCAATAGGACAATTTAATGATTTGATGCACATATTTCGACTTCTATTATTCATCAACTTCCCAAAGTGAGCATATCCCTAAAGTGCTTTTATTTTAAAAGTGAATATGAGTTGAGAAGAATCTTTAGAAAACTTACTGATCATACACTGTTTTATCTTGTATACTTCTCAAATTAATTATCATTTTTTTTTTCGCTTTAAATTTATGAATATATACAGGATAAGTGTTAAATAAGTACAAATATAATTAGGGGTAGTATATTTCGACCCCAAGAAGACGTCAATGGAAAGACGTTCATGGAAATTTATAATTATTTTTTTTTGTTTAAATTTTCAGTTCAAAAAATATAATATGGCTATACCAGGTGCGTCTCAAAAGTGGCTCACTCCTATAACTTTTTTGCTTTTTCAGATTTGAAATTTGAAACGTGATTCATAATGACAATTTGACTCGAAATACCAAGTGTGTTGTACTAAATTATTTATAAAAAAATGCTTTTTCTAAAAATGCTAATGAGCCACTCTCGTTCCATTTGAAAAAATTGAGATATGATTAAATATACAATTTGGGCATCTTTTAATCGGCCAGAACAAGGCACTAAAAACATTAGACGATCAAATCTACTTTTCAATCAAATCATTTAACACAGCCATACAATTTTGTTTTAAGCGAAAATGTCAAAAGTTGACATATGATCCGTCATTCTATTCAGAGTGTCATTTTCTATCGAATAAAGTAACAAAATACCGATGGTGCCATTTGAAAATCAAAGTTGTAGTCATTTCCGGTGACACAGGAAGTGGCCGTAAAGAATTGAATGCATATATCAATCAGTCCTGATTTATGTCATGTACTAACAGACCAAATCTTAATTTTTTTTTATCTAAAAAAAATAATTCAATTATAATTTAAATATTCTATTATTCAAAATATTTATAGATGTATAATTGATAGTACTATCAATAGAAATATCTATAGATATTTCATATTGAATTATATGCACGAATTGCATATTATTAATATAAAAAATATTTTCTAGGAAATATCTTATGTCTGAAAAAAACAGTTGTACAATAATACTTTTTATATGTTTTTATTTGCATATATCATGTTTTCTTAGTATACAGAGAAGTATTCCTTAGTACAGAGAGTTATTATATTCAAATAAATAAAATTAAAGTAACATTTATTTTCGTTATTATAGCCAACTGAATTAAAGGCCTCTTTACAGATATATTTCCATTTTTTTCATAAAAGGCCAGTAATAAGTTTATCTTTCTTCATCCTCAGGAAGTACCTATATCCAGTCATTAGGCAAAATTATATCGGATGAACGAAAAAAGACGGCGTCAAAGATGGCTGGAGAATGACAGTCGATGATAATTTTGGCGAGGTCAATCTCTGGACGTCATTTACTAAAAATTGACGTAAACTTCACACTAATTATAAACAGATAAAAAGATAGAACGTTTCTAGACACAAATCTATTTCAAAAACAAATATTTTTTCGCGAATTTTAAACTACACCATTTAAACATTATTTTTATTCAATATAAAAATAAATTACAATCTTCTTAAGGCCAACTGGCAGTAAGCACCATTAAAAAATAAATAAGAGTACGGGCCAAGTAAATGACGTCTTGGCTGACTTCGCCAAAATTATCATCGATTGTCATTCTCCAGCCGTCTTTGACGCCATTTCTTTTTGATCGAATGGTATTTCAAAATATTTTTATCTAACACACAATTATTGTTATCATTAATTTTTCTAATGAGATAAAACTAAAAGCCTACAAAGTGAATAATAGTGTATTCTGACAATTTAAGTGAATGATAACAAAAAAAGCCGAATGCAATGCGACAAAAATATTTTCGAGATGGCGGTACATCCGGTTATTATAGGTACAGAAACTAGATGTAAACTTACCCCTATAATTTTTCTATTTTTTCAGATAAAAAAACAAGATTTAGAATGTTAGTATAATATGACATAAACACATAAATTAGGATTGATTGACATATTCAATTGTTTTCAGTCACTTCCTGTTTCACCGGAAATGACTATAATACCTACAACTTTACATTTTTAAATGGCACCCTGGGTATTTTTTTACTTTATTGGATTGAAAATGACACTCTAAATAGATCATCATCATATGTCAACATTTGACATATTGTCGCATATGGTTTATTTGCAATTATAACATGCGGTTCATAACGACAATTTGATTCGAAATACCAAGTGTGTGGTACTAAATTATTCCTTAAAAATGTTTTTCCAAATATGCTAATGAGCCACCCTCGTTTCATTTGAAAAGATTGAGATATGATTAAAAATATGATTTGGGCTTCTTTTAACCGGCCAAAACAAGACACTAAACACATCAGACGATCAAATTTATTTTTCCATCGCTCCTTGATTAAAAATTAGTGTTCTTAACACAGCCATGACACTCTAGATTGAAATTTAAAATACAATTTTTTTAAGCGAGAATATCAAAAGTTAACATCATTCATAAGCCCTCAGAAACTTCTTCGAGTGTCTTAGACCATTGCAAGATTTCCATTCCAGGTTGCGGATGGAATCTTCCAAGTTCTTGAGTTCCGCCTTGAGTTGGTTACCACTTGGAAAGCAGAACGGTTCTGGTCCAGTTAGTGGAGTGTTCGCTCCTTTCCTAGCTAGATTATTTGCTAAATTTATGTCATACTAACATACCAATAAATATCGTTTTTTTATCTCAAAAATAAAAAAGTTATAGGGGTAAGCCACTTTTGAGACGCACCCTGTATATTGTCTGACTAACAAATACATCTAGAAATCGTAGTAGGAATTTTGTTGTTATCAGTTATAATATCATTTTTAAAAAAAAAAGTTATTTCGTGAAAAACGTTCACCCAAAAAAATAACTGTACTGAATTAAAAAAAGTATCTTAGCGATAAAAATATTAAATGAGATTTGTACTTATAACAATTTTGATTACTAAAATTACTTACAGTAAAGTCCTCTGTCCCAGTATGCCGCTTTTAAGTGAAAGAAAATCATCGAGCATGGAATGAAAGTACTGGAGAGGCTGCAGGCCCAGAGCTACAAAAGGCCTAAATTTATATAATTCGCGATATAACGGCAAGTTCAGAGAACAATAGCTTGTGGCATTATAATATTTATATACTTTTACATTATTATACCATATATATTTAAGTCCAATCGTTACTTTTTAAAAATCAATAAGACAAACACATTTTATTTTCGAAATAAGTAGTAGGTATTAAATAAAAAAAAATAATAAAAAAAATTTTAAATAAAAGTTCAAACAACCAGTGGCGGCTGGTCCTAAAGGGCCTAGGGTATGTGCTCAT